TTCCATGTTTTATATATCTATCGGAAGTATATTAAACAGGCTTTCAGAGTTTAATGCAAAATATTTTATATAATGACATTTCTTGCCATAAAAATGTGGCGAAAGATAATCTTTTAGACTAGAAAATAGTAGCATACTTTAATGTGAATTTTATTAAACTGTTTGTTTCTGTAAGAATCTGAATACGTATGGCTAAACTTCGAGCCTTCTTCTTTTAAACCCAATATAGGTTTTGATGCCGTTCGAACCTGCCCAATAACAACCATTTTAAATTTAAAAATATTTCTACTTAATTTTTTTAAAATTTTTTTTTTACATAGAAGTTAAAATACTTTCTTTAAACTTAAAATACTTCCTCTAAATTGATATAACCTTTTCAATATTTTTCCACAAATTAAAAAAATTTACAAAAATATTTTGTTGATTTAAAACAGCTTAAGTAAATAATAAAGTTCAAACCTTTTTAAATTGAATTAAAGAATAAAGATTTTATTTCTTTTGTGACTAGTGATGCAATTAATGTCTGAATGTTTAAAGTTTTTAGAGGAGAAAAACAATTAAAGAGAAAAAATTATAATGATTGCAAACTATGAACAAACAAAAAATGAAGAATATTCATTACAACAAGTATAAATTTCCTGGTTAGAATTATTCAATTTTGAATTTGAACTTAATCAGAAACTCTCTATCAGAAACACCAGATTTAAAGAGAAAACAGTATAATTTGCCTTTTAAAGCAAAGGAAATTGAGCTAAAAGTTCAGCCTTGGCAGACAGATTTTTCAAAACTGTCTGACAAAGCTGAACATGAAACAAAGTATATACTCAAGATAGCAAGATACACCGCCAAACAAATCGAAAAAAAGAACTTCTAATAAAAATATTGGTAAAGAAATTTTTTAAAAATGCCTCCACAAGTGGCATTTCCTTTTCTATTAAATTATGGTTTACCTAATCTCAGTACATGGCAATAAGACTGGAGAGTAAAAAGGAAAGATATTTATTTGCTATACAGTGATACTCTAAAATCTAAAAAAAATTGAAAACCAAATAGTATGCACATCTCTGACAAGGAAGCAACTAAGCCATTACAAAACCTTCTGAATCATACCGTTCAAAGAATGGTAAAATCACGAGAAATGCACATCATATCTAAAATTATTAGTAAAGAAAAAGATTAAACTGAGTTAATTTTTGTTGCAAATTGACATTTGTAGTCAGTGCTTAAAAACATGCTTCAACTTTATTAAAAAAAAAACTTTTGTAGAAATATTTTAAAATTGAAAATAGTTGTTCTTGAGTGAGTTTGTGTGATATCAAAAATAGATTAAAAGAAGAAAAGTTAAAGTTTAGCCATGTTTTCAGATTCTTACAGAAACATACAGAATTTAATAAGATTTTAAACATATGATATAACTCCTAACTCTGTTAAACTTTGCTAAAGAAAGTAGAAAACTTATTTGCAAAACAAAAATTTTTCTTTCAAATAAATAAACTTCTTGATAATATAATTCAAATATCAAATGGAAAATATCTGATTATCAAAAGCTGAAATGGAAGGCAATATTCATAAACTCAACTTTATTTTTACTTTTCTTATAGCTTAAAAAACAGATTAAAAAGCATATACATCATACTAAGCACTGGCGTTACAGCATTCATGGTAGAGTTGCAAAAAAAAAACGTTTTTTTTTAATTGTGTTTTTTTTGCATAAAAAACATGTTTTTTTTGTGTTTTTTGTGTTTTTTATGGTTTTTTTTGTTTTTTAGATTAAAAAAAAAATTATTTACTTTTATTTAATTTTTATTTTTATTATAAATGTAATATAATATATATTATTAACATGATATATGGTAAATATATAGTACATCATTTAAAAGATTTATTTTTAATTAATAACAGATTCTGTATTCTGGCTTTCTTGTTCATTAAGGTCTTCTATTGTAAAGTCAAATCCGTATTGCATCCACAACTATTCACAACTCAGAAAAATAAAATTGCATCCGTATCCGGATGCAATTTTATTTTTCTGAGTTGTGAATGGAACTCTTGTTGAAGAATACAATCGTTTTAAGGGAGGCTTATCTGATTTGGTTTTATTTGCCTTACAGTCTCCAAACTTAGGGGTTGTAGACCTACTTTGGTTTCCAAAACAGCTTGGTGTTGGAAAGAAAGACTCAATTGGAACTTGTGGAATAGCAGATGATAAACATATTTTTTTCTCTTTTTTCATATCTTGAATAGGTAAGTTTTCAGGAATATCTTCTTCCATCATTAGTTCAGTTTGAACTTTCTTCTGTTTAAAAGGCATATCGTTTAAATATTTGTTTTTTATTTGATCGCCACATTTCATACATTTTGCAATGTGCTCAGTCATTCGAGTGCCATTTTTTGATAGCTTTAAGCTGCAAAATTTGCATATAACTTGTTGAATTTTAGAACCTCCAGATTCTAAAGGTGCCTCATTGAACAATGTAGCTACAAAACATTTCTTTCTGCCTGGCATATTTTTTTTTAGATTTCTTTTTTTTTCTTATAATTAAAAATAATTAATAGATTACAAATTGTTTAATATAAATGTTTTTTCATTAGACAAAGTTAATCATTGTGTTATTTTTATTTACTTGAATATTGTTTGAATAAATAAAATTTTAGCTATCTAATTGCAATTTAAAATAAAATAAAGAAATTAAATATTAAAAATTTAAAAAAGTAATATACAAAAGTAAATAAAACATTAAAGTAAATTTTATTTAACAGTTGGTTTAATTTTGTATTTTGCAATGCAGTGTTATTTCATTCATTTTTATGAATGAAATAACACAGCTAAAATAACATTTTTATTTCCTTCATTCAGTAGTATTATACTTACAATCAACTAGTAGCTAATAGTATAATTTTTTTGAGATTTATTTAAAAAATTACTTTTTTAAATATTTAATACTGTTTTTTTTTTAATATTGGTGATTAGTTTGTAACAGCTATTATATAAGTTAATATGCATTTTATTAAATAGAAAACATTTGTATTTTGTAGGTTTAAGGGCACTGGAACTGTTTCAAGTATTATTATTATCTAAAATTTAATGAATACTAAAAAAAAGCAAAAAAAACTATAAAAAACATGTTTTTAGAACCAGTCTGTTTTTTTTGCAAAAAAAACGTGTTTTTTTTAAAAAAAACACACCGTTTTTTTTGGGGTTGCAACTCTAATTCATGGTTAGCACAAAAGCAGTTTTTTTAGAATATGCATTAAAAAACGACTAAAAAATGCACGGAATTTTTTCAATAAAAATTGGCTCACAATAAATTAATAGAATGCTAATTAAATTGCAAAAAACCCCATTGCGAAAAACCCCATCACAATTACTTACTAAATATCGCTATTGTAAATTATCACCTTCAATTCTATATTTAAAAATTACTATTGAAATTTACCACATAATTGCATTGCAATAACTTATAACCAACATTAGTGTTACACATCCTCCCCCCCCCTCCACCTTATAAAGTGCTAGAAACTGCTGAGTAAAAATAGTTTACATCATTACCAGAAACAAAACATTTTCTTTAAAACTTCACAATATTAAAAATGTAATATTTACCCTTTTACATATATATCTGCACACGGTTGGCCTGTCAAAATATTGATATCTCCAAGAATAACATCTTCAGTATTCCAGATTATACATCGAAGCTCGTACCTAAAGATACCAAAACCATTTTTATCTTTTTGGATAATATCCCTTTAAAACACATAACACATTTTATAAACTTACAGGGAAGATAATTCCCTGTCATTATTATTATGAACTATTCAGAAACTTTTACAGGGAAGTAAGTTTATAAAATGGTTTTTATAAACTTACTTCCCTGTAAGTTTATAAAAACCATTTTATAAACTTACAGGGAAGATAATTAGGGGTCATTATTATTATGAACTATTCAGAAACTATGTAAATATTTTAAAAAACAAAACACTACAAAGTCTTTAAAACACTTCAAAATTCTTAAAATAGAATTAGTCTTTCAAAAGAAGCTTACGAAATAGGTTTCCTTGGAGTAATATCAATAGGTGCACCTGGAGCCGGTCCTTCCATGCTAAACAAATCAATCCACAGCTGAATTCGACCCTAGAAATTTGTGTATATATATATATATATATATATATATATATATATATATATATATACATATATATAAATACACATACATATATATATATATATACATATATATATATATATATATACATATATATACATATATATAAATACACATATATATATATATATGCATATATATATATATATATATATATATATATATATATATATATATATATATATATACGTATATATATACATGTATATATATACATATATATATATATATATATATATATATATATATATATATATATATATATATATATATATATATATATATATATATATATATATATATATACTAAATAATTTGTAGTTTGATTACTTCCTGCAATTAAATTAATGCGTTTGACATAATCTAACCTTAATTTTGTCAGCTTTAATACCATAAACAAGTGAAGAGCTGTTTTTTACCACAAATTTTATATCTAATACCTTTACTATAGGTATATTTATAGCTATTTACATATATATGTATATATATATATATATATATATATATATATATATATATATATATATATAATATATATATATATATATATAACCCTTGGAATTAGGGTTAGCATATATATAGCATGTATGTATATATATATATATACATATATATATATATATATATATATATATATATATATATATATATATATATATATATATATACATATATATATGTACATGTATACATATATCTCTAGCTACATAATAATCTCTTTATATCTCTTTAGGTACAAAGACATTAGTCAATAAAACACAGGCCATATTGTAAGTTTTATCTGGTCAAAAAATCATGTTGTGATCTTATTTCATTTTGTTTATAAACAAAATGAAATTAATGATTGTTTATTTATTTAATTTTATGAGAAGGTCATATTGCTTGTTTCATTTGAGACAAAATATAAAAAAATTGAAATAATTGATTTTTCAAAAACAATATAACTGACTGGTTAAAGTCAACTAATTATTAAAACATTTCAAAATTGTTTTAAATATATTAGGGCTCAACATATTAATTTAATTTAATTTCAGAATTTTTTTTTAATGATTTGAGTTTTTTATACTATTAGAGTTACTGTACCGCAGATTTATATATACTTGTTTACTCATAGACCAATGTTTTATCATTTGCTTAAGATGACTAGAACGTCACCCTTTCTCTGAGTCCTAAAGTTTTACTCCTCCTACAAAATAGTCTGTACACATTCATTCATGATTCTTACCCAATAACATCATCTACAATCTATTTTTATTTTCACCTCTACCAGGTCTATGTAACTGGATGGCTCCGTCGGCCACTTTTTGCGATCATTGTGTCGCATAAACAAAAAAACAAAAAAACAAAAAAAATAGTAGATATAATAAAAGTAGAAGTACAAGAATTATAAGACAAAAGTTGATAATAATCTTAACAAGGGTAATTTTAAGGATTTTTAGCTAGCAACATAATATGTCATAAAACTTATGTTCAACTCAAGTAATAAATAAAAATAAATATTAAAACAAATAAATATTAATACAAATAAATATTAAAACAAATAAATATTTAAAAAATATGGCTCTACTAACTTGGCAAAAATTTTACTCAGGCCAAATAAAAAGCTTTCTACTCACCTGCTCTATACCTGGAATGTCTGATTTAAGTAAGGACCTTGTTTCAACATGCTCAGGAACAAGTACATAACCTTTACCCTCAATCATTTGAAAATTATGAAGTGCTTTTAATGCACTGGGTTCATCTGACTGTTTAGGATTACCTAAAAGAACAAATGTAAACATACATTCACACATGCATATATATCACACTGCAGTGGAGCATACTTCAAGACCATGGTCGACATCCCAAACAATTTTTTTTTTGATAATGAACAGGGACCATTTCCCGATTCCAAAAACGTATTAAACAAAATCATCCATTGGGGGCATTTTGAGAAATTAGGTATTTTAGATTTTTGAGAGGTTTTGAGAGGAAAAAATTGTTTGGGATGTCTACCATGGTCTTGAAGTATGCTCCACTGCACTGAGTTCAGAACAAGCTAAAAAATTTGAAATATTTTATATTGATTAATTTTTGATTAATATATATACTTAATGTATGTACTTAATATATCTACTTTATGTATTTACTTTTGACTAATAAAAGTTTATAAAATAACCGGTTTTTTTAATAAACATTATTTTAAATACTTTGTTTACCAATAACAGCTGTTTACCAATTAATCAGCTGATTTTAGTAAATGTTTACATAATTAATATCAATGTGAAATTGTGCAGCACTACTTGTGTTTAAGTCGACATTGTTATATTTTACAAAGAGTTTATTCAAGTAAGAAATTTTTTTTGAGATAGATTAATTAGTTGAGAAAATGCCTCATGAGGCAAAAACACATAATGAGTTTGTAAAGATGTTCTGCATTTGCTGTTTTCAGAAGTCAAAAGATTTAAGATTTATTAACGGCAAAGTGAAAACTAATTTATCAAATGGAAAACATGATTACTGCCAGCTTCTCAAAATACGCTTTTAGCAAGATTATGCGAGCCAAAACCCAGGTCTCCCTGTTATGATTTGCTCAAAATGTAGAAAAAAGTTGTTGAGTGTAGATCCAACCTTTAAATCCAGACCAAGTTAAGAAGGTAAATGCCAAATATAAGTACAATGTTCATTAAACAATTAGGTGATATATTAATAAATATGTTGCATATTCATGCCAAGAATATTTTTTTCTTTTAGATTTGAACACTTGAATTCTTAAAGGGGGAAAATGTGAATGTTTCATCTGTGAAAATAGAAGAAAGAATGGAAAAATTGAAGTTACAGTCCCAATGGTAGAATGCTTTACAGGAAATTCAGTAGCTCGAGGTCCTGAAAACCAGTTAATAGAGAGAAATTTATGCAATACATGCTATGCCCAAATTGGAAAAGGAAAGTCTCATCCTTGCACCAAATTAGAGAGACAAAAGAATTTGTCAGCTATTGTACAGTCGGCATCCCCTGTGACTAAACAAAGAGTTCTTTCAAGATCTTTGAAAGATCTTAGTTCAGATAAGGAAATAATTCTAAACACTTTTGACCTGAATAAGATGTTTGTCAGGATTGGAATTGAGCCGAAAAAATTTTACATCAGAAAAACTTAATCTACTTCAACTGAAACTTCACTGCAGTGATCGCAAAATGATTAAGAAAAATCTGTTTCTTCGGTCTGAGGGTGTAAATGTTGAACCAGGATTCAGTAAGAAATTGACAAGCAATAATAATGCTATTCTAGACCTTTTTAATGGAGAAAAACTTTCTATTTTTATGAAGGAAATAAGTAATGCAGGGGAAAAAGAGGTAAAAATAAATTAAAATCTTTTTTTTTTACAAATCTCTAGCAGAGAACACATTTTATGTAAGTATTTTGAACATGTACATAAATATTTTTCATCAAGTTTTAGACAGGTTGAGTATTAACATTTAATTAGTATAACACAAGTGGCTAGGTAACTAACTTTTGATTTTGCATGTTTAGATGGTTGAGAAAGAGGTTCCTGGAGTATATTATAATGATGTTGAAGAGCTCCTGGCCCTGGTCCTTCAACACAGAAATCAGGTCCCTAATGATGTTGATATCAAGCTTGGCATAGATGGGGGGCAAGGGTACCTTAAGTGACTTTGTCAATTACATTAAAATCAGACATGAAGACACATACTGTCCCAGAGAAAAAAAGTTGAAATGGGGAAAGATATTCAAGCCAAGATTTTAAGTATTCAAGTGTTCACAAAACTCTCATTCTTGCCATTTTGCCCTCAATGAATGAAAGCTATGTAAATTTAAAAACGATCCTTGATAAATTGAAGATAAATTCTTTGGACTACACTGTATCAGAAGATCTGAAAGTTTTGCTCCAGATGGTTGGCAAACAGACAAACATGGCAATACATACAAATATATATATATATATATATATATATATATATATATATATATATATACATACATATATATGTATATATATATATATATGTGTGTATATATATATATATATATATATATATATATATATATATATATATATATATATATATATATATATATATATATATATATGCATATGAATATGTTAGGATGTATATGTATATATTAGACAAAATTTTATATTGAATTTAAAAATAATAAATTTTTTTTTATAAAAACACCAATTAAACAAAATGTTTTAAAAAAACTATTAAAAAATTTTATTTTTTCATTTTTTTAAAAAATAGTTTTTTAGCATCGAAATATAAACCAATATTTTATAATATAAAATAATTTTTGTTTTACTTTTTTAATAAAATATTGCTTCTTTTGAGACCCAACATAATAGATATTAAAATTTTTTTTTTAATAATATTAGAGACCTGTCTGATGTTAAAAGATCTTGTGCAACCTCTAAAAATGCTGCAAATCAACTCAATTTTTTACCAATTTTTTTTTTAGTAGATAGATTTTTTTTTAGTAGAATAGAAAGGTCCAATACATACTTCTTAAAAAAAAATTTTTTTGGACCACCCTTATATATATATATATATATATATATATATATATATATATATATATATATATATATATATATATATATATATATATATATATATATATATATATATATATATATATACACACACACACACACACACACTCACACACACACACACACACACACACACACACACACACACACACACACACACACACACACACACATATATATACATTAGGGCCCTGCAAATCGGCATTTTTACTTTCAAATTTAATCTTAAATTAAAGTGGGTCTTGATTCGCGAATCCAACAAAAACGAATCCAAGAAAAACTAATGCTGTTGTTTTAGCCGAAGCTCGCCTTCTCCATTTTATTCAATAACTCGGAGTCTTTAAATTAAACGTCACAATCTACAGACTTCAGCAATTCCTTTGAAACACGTTTAATTCATAAAAGTTTTAGTATTTGACATCACGGTAGACTTTTAACAAATGAAAAGTGTAATTACAGAAAGCTACTTTAATTCAAAAAGAACAATGTAGGATTTTTTTAACATACTGCAAAACAAATTTATTTGTATTATTTTTCCAAACATCGCAAAAAAAATTTTGTAAAAAGTAAAAACAATAAATTATTTTTATTTAATAGAAGCAACTTATTTTTTACAGATATGTTAATAATTTTTAGATTTATATATCTTACTTATATTTCTTTTGTTTTTAGATTAAAAACAAATAAAAAGCAATTTTTTGGAAGCAGTATTACAAAAATTAAAAAGCAATTTTTTGGAAGCAGTATTACAATTACTTTACTTTGCTGAGATAAATAAAAACATTTAGTATCTTAGCTTTGGATATCTGAAAAAATAAAAACACTCACAAAATAAACAGTGATTCAAAAAATTCAAATCATTTTTTTAGAATCAAAGCAGCACTTGATTTGCAAATTGAATCGAATCAATTTGCATGGCTCTAATATATACATATATACATATACATACATATATATATATATATATATATACATATATACATATATATATATATATATATATATATATATATATATATATATATATATATATATATATATATATATATATATATATATATATATATATATATATATATAAAACAAAACATAGTCAAACCAGTAAACAAAAATAAATCTTTTTTTCTGAAATATTTATTAAAAATACTTTTTTTAATTTCCAAAAAATACACTAATTCAAAGTCTTTTTATATAATTAGTTAAATAAACTTTAAGGACTAGAGGCCTTTAAAAAATCATCAATAGTGCTGTTTTAGTATTGTAGCAAGATTTTTATATACAAAATAAAATATAAAAATCCCCCCCCCCCACACACACACACTTTAAAATATAAAAATCTCCCCCCCCCCCCACACACACACTTTTTGCAATATGTTTTTTTGAGTACCCTCCACCTCCCTAAAAGTACCTACGCTTTTAAACTACTTATCTAATATTTTATGATCTTTTTTTTAATTTAGTGTCTTCTTTCTTTTATAATTGACTCACTGCCCTCCTATCTCATATATGCCATTTGCAGACCCCTCTTCCTCTCTGAGCATATGTATTTTATGGACGAATTCTAAGTATCAATTAAAAGTATCATGTTTTTGTTTGTGTAGATGCTTTTTGTATGATAACAAAAAACTTCAATTGTTAAGCTTAAGGAAAACAAAAAGTTGAAAAAAAAGTTCAATTACATTTTGGTGGGAACGTTGACAAGTAAAAACATGGTTGTCAAATCTATTAGTTGATAGGCCAGTTCTGCAACTAGAAATATGTCTGTTTATTCGTAATCTTAAATTGTTAGTTTTGTCAGCATATGTGGCTTGTTTTTTGCATGCCAAACATTTAAGGTAATAAATTACATTTTTGCTGTTGCATGTGATGTGATTTTTTATTTTCCAGATAGTACCATTAGAAGTTTTAAACTTCTTGAAGGTAGAGTCTGCATATTTTACACTGATTGTCTTTGCATTTAAATATACTAATCTTCTTATTATTTGCTTCAAATTTTGAAGAAGTAAATCTTAGGAGTTTAGTAAGGAGGTTGTTCAAAAGCTAATACCGGATGAATATTATAAAAAACATTTTTGTAAAACTAAATGATTCATTTAATTCAGTAAAAGAAATTTTAAAATTTCTGATGTCAAGATATTTTGGCCAGATTATAAAACCATCATCAATATATCTAAAATAAAATTTCTTTATATCATCTAGTTCACGGTTTGAAAATACTGAGGTAAGATTATTGGAAAAAGTCTCTTCTAGAAACCCAATAGAAAGACAAGCATAATCTGTACCCATGGCTGTACCAGTTATTTGGTAAAATAATTGTTTATCAAATATAAAATTATTGTTATTTAAAATAAAAGATGCTGACTCAATTATAAATTCAGGTGTAAATCTTTTATCTATTAATTCTTTACATTTAAATATCTAGAACTTGAGGGCTTCTAAACCAAGATAATGTGAAATGCTTGTGTAAAGATCAACAATGTCGCATCTCATTATACAACTTCCTGATTCAAACTCTCTCTTGGAATTTTTCTGAGGAAATCCCAGTCATCTTTAATAAAAGATTTTTGTTCCTTTACAATTGGTGATAAAATTATATGTAAAAACTGGCTAAAATGAGATGTTGGCTAATATTTTCCGGCAACAATTGGTCTACCTTTAAGATTTGTTGGTGGTTTCATTTCAATAAATGAAGAGTCTGACTCTTTTACCTTATTAATGATTTCTTGGCATTTGTGAATTTTAGGAATTACATAGAAATTACTAGATTTTCATTTAAAGTTTGTGATATAATTTATCTCATTTGTTGTGAAGTATTTATGTTTGTTTATCAATTTAATAAGATTGCTAAAAACTATTTTATCGAAAGCTATATAATTGAAGACTATATATTTTTCTAAATATCACAAATCGCGATCTATTAATTCAACCCTTGTGTATATATATATTGTGTATATATATATATATTGTATATATATATATATATATATATATATATATATATATATATATATATATATATATATATATTGTGTATATATATATATATATTGTGTATATATATATATATATATATATATATATATATATATATATATATATATATATATATATATATATATATATATATATATATATATTGTATATATATATATATATATATATATATATATATATATATATATATATATATATATATATATTGTGTATATATATATATATATATATATATATATATATATATAAAATTTGAAATTCCGTTTTTTTTAGAAACTTTTCTATTTCAAATAAAACTTGAAATTACTTATGTTGTTTGAACAAAGAATGAACAAATTTAAGTTAATTTGCCCCTTGAAAACAAAGTATATGGTTTTGCATGAACTAAAATTTTAGAAGATATTTTTCCAGATATCGTAAATAGCTTAATGTATAAATGTATGCATGCATGCATATATGTATGTATGTTATGTATGTATATTTATGTATATAAAAAACAAGTCAACAGGAGAAAATCTGAAATGAGTATATTTTTGATTTATAAGTATAAATGAATTATTTTATTCTTTATTTTATTATTAGTCAGACATCTTTGGTCACACATGCTTGGTCAAATTAAAAGGTACAGACAAAAATAATTTTAAAAGCATGTAAAGGTCTAAAATCAACTGCTAGAATTGTCATAAAATGTTATAAGGAGAAGAAAACTAAAAACAGAAAACGAGGAAATGGTGGAAAATCGAGATTTAATGACAAAAAGAAGACAAAATCAATAATCAACTTAATTCATTAAAATCCAACTCAGTCTTAAAAAAGATTTTGCTATAAATTTTAAATGCAGTAGATCTTTCATTCAAAGAGTACTGGAAAAGGAAAATCTGAAAGCTTATTACAAAAAAAAAAGATACTAAAATAGATCACTTGATGGAGAAATGAAGGCAATTAAACGAGAAAAAACTTTGCTTAAATTAGTAATTTAAATTTTGTGCATTTTAAAACACAATGAAACATACTGTAAAAAAGATCACTTGATAATTCAGGTAAGCAATACTATTATAATTAAATTATTAAAAAAGCATCTGACAGATTTAAATACAATCAAGTCAATAAATTTGTATTTGTGGCTTTAAAAGCTTTCATTTTATAACAAATCAAACTTTAACATCAGATCTATATACAACTAAATGCTTGGAAAAAGGACATCTTCATCTAATTAAAAAATAGAAATGACCAACTTTATTTTGGCTAGATCTAGTACTGATACACCATTCCGAAAAAATAATAGTTTGGATGATAATCTAATAATTTGTCTTGAGCAGCAAATCATTGAATCTTATTAGGTAATAGTGAAGAGAATACTGAGAAAAAGAGGCAAATGTGCAAAAAATATGTTAAAAAATTCTGAGATTTATGGATTAACACTACAAAAAAAGTAACGCAAAGTCAAATTGTGGATTTCATGGGGGTATCCCCCATATAATCCACAATCTTTTTACAAAATATTAAATTACTTGTCGTAAAGTTAAGACTTTAATTTAGTTGAGAATTTATTTTTGTTGAAATAAAAACTTAATATTTTCACACTATTTAAAATAAATAGAACTAGGTAGTTTTCAAGAAAATGAAACTTAAAATTGTCCAAACTCTAACAAATCATATTGTTTACAAGATGCAGAGTGAAATTTCTACATCTCATCTCCAAAAAGAATTTTTAAATACTAAAAAAAAATAAAAACAATTTGAAAAAATAAAAAAATATCAGAAGGGTTTGTGGGTCAGTTTTTTCCAAACAAGACTGACTACCATCATTTAATCTCTGAAATCGACTGGTCACATTGAATGAAATAGGAGTGTGGTGTAAATTATTCGGAAATCATGCAAGCTATTTCATATACCTTCAGAGAAAATTTGAAGAAATCAGATTTTACCAATGTGAAATAACCCCAAATGCTGAAGCACTGAAATCTTTTTAAGATGTTTGAAAGATGATTGCAATAGTTATTTAGATTAATTAGATAGAAGTCATCATTAAAAGAGATAGCAGTGAAGATGCTGTAGAGCATGAAGATGCTGACTTCATGACAGACTTGTCAAAGTAATCATCATCAACTAATCATCAATCATCATCAATATAAGCTCACAAGAAAGGAATTTTAAAAAAGCAAACCCCACTAGCAACATGCAGATGTGATCAATGGACATCATCAGATTGCTCAGCTGCAGCAGTAGCAATAACTGTTTTGGTTGTTATCTTTTTCAAATGGTCAATTATTCAAGATACTTGCCTGTTAAGTTCAAGAAGCTTGTTAACCCTAGAATGAAAAGACCTAATGCTTTAAAATAACAAGTACTTTGCTCATTCAGAAAACTTATTGGTATGAATGGTAACCAATGAAATGCCACATTCATTAATTGAAACTAATACATGTATTGGCTGCAAGACTTCCTAAAATACAAATAATAAACTTTCGGTTAGATTGTTTAAGATACCACTGCTAAACTTTAAAGCAACTAACTACAGAGATATAATTGACATGGTCATAAAACAAAAGTGTTAAACCTCCGATGGTTAGATCACTTAAATCTCAACAAAAATCAGAATTCTGACTTAAGAATTCTATTAAAATGTGTGTTTAAAATATAAAAAACTGCATATAAAAAACTTTCATAACATAATCCTATTATTGTAATATTGTTGATAATCCTATCTTGATGAATAGCAATAGAGATAATTAATATTGAAATAACCATGTACCGAAATAAACTTTTTCAGATTTATGTTACGAAAAGAAACTTTTTATGATTAAATATACATCCATTTGTGCTTAGATGCTTTTAAAATAGATTTCTATAAATTTGAGTGTAAATCATAATTTATTCAGAATATATTACAAATCAAAAAAACTTAAAAATTTTAAAGGGATAAATATTTTATTTAAGTTTTAGTTAACAAGACAACAAAGTTAGAAATAATAATTATATAAGAATATACTTTGAATTTTAATTTTGTTTAAACTAAAATTTAATTTATTTAAATTCACTGCGACGCTTATGAAGTAATAGCAGTTTTTCCTGAAAATCAAAAAAATGGTTATTTCGGTACTGATCTCTCCTACTAAAAGACTTTAACTTTATGTCTTCTGATATTATCGCAACTGACCTCTCATGAAAACCATATATCATATCCATTTCAAAGTTACCATCTGCTAAGGTTGTCACTATTTATTACGCTCACCATTTTCTTACTATCAATTTCATTCTTTACCCCTGTAAATCTTGTATCTGTCCTTGTATGGAATACTGTTGTCATATTTGGCCTGATTTTTCTAATGATGCTCTTTCTCTTTTAGACAAGATCCCGAAATGTAAACGAAGCATGTCATAAGGTTGCATCTCTTTCTACTTTCTACTGACACTTATAAGATTTTTGTTCAAGCTATATTCTCTTATTTCTTTTAACATAACTAAAACCTCATTCAATTATCTTGCATGACTCATCATTCAGTAAAAGTGCATTCTTTTACTATAACAGTTTCTTTATGCTTAAAAAAGCTAGGTTTTACTCCTTAAGTTTTTTTGTTTGCAACTAATACTGGTTCAGTCATCCTTGCAAAACACACAAGATTTATGTTGTAATTATATAAAGTAAGATATAACTGATTAAAAAATTTAGAAAGAATTATAAAAAACATTATGAATTATGAAAGAATATAAATTATAGTTGCAAATATGTGCTAATTACCAAAATTAGTTTAAAAAAAGTTTATTCCTGTGTAGTGATTGATAAATAATTTTTGTTCAAGATTATATAAAAGTTTACCATTATCGTCCAAAATATGGTCTTTTGCGCAAAACACCCATTTTTCCACACGACATTTGCCAGGAGTAAAATGAGGACCATCTAATTTTAGGTCTTTACATAATCGCTGTAGTATTGCTGTTGGTTTGATTGGATCACGCCACTTGTTAAAACCTTGACTAAAAATTTAAATTTTTAAAATTTATTTTAACTGATTTTAAAATTTGAATAAAACTAATATTTATAAAAAATACAATTTTGTAATAGGTTAGTAGTAGAGCACTTGGCTCACAATCAAGAGGTTCATAGTTCAAAACCCGTCCCATGCCTCTGGAAATAAGGTTCATGGTTCAAAACCATGCTTCTAGAAATACCATGTTTAACTCTGTGCAACAGCCTTGTTGAACAAGGTTTGTGTTTCAGAGTCTAGACTTGAGAGAGAGAGAATAAGTTAAAAAAAAAATAGTTTCTTGACTGTAGTGGATACAAAAAAAAGTTCCTTACTGTAGTGGATAAAAAAAATAGTTCCTTACTGTAGTGGATAAAAAAAATAATTCCTTGACTATAGTGGATTAAAAAAATAGTTCTTTGACTGTAGTGGATTAAAAAAATACTGCCATAACTATAGTAAATAAAAAAAATACTCTTTTGGCTGTAGTGGATACTGTGGAGCTTTGGATATATTACTTGATTGAAAATTTGACTAATAAACTAATAATACTAAAAAACCATAGCTAATAAATAAATAGCATTAAAGATCACTAATTTGCAACAAATGAAATTAAAAAAAAAACAAATGAAATTAAATAATTAACCAAGCAATGAGTGTAATGGAAGTAAACAATGAAAAATTGAAAAACCATGTTAAAGTGAAAATTTTAGAAACATAAAACATTAAGTTTTTTTTACATGTCATAATTCTTTGATAATCCACAAATGGCACGATGTTTTGAAAAAAATCTGTTTTCAATATCAATTTTTGTTTCGCCAATCAAATCATCTGAGCCAACCAAGTCGTAATCATATATAGAGACCACCAACATATTGTCATGCGGCAAAGTCACCTCGAAATCAAACGTTCTAAAAGACAGTTTAAGACATTAAAAAAAAAAGATTTATAATTTAGACCTATAGAGTTATAGAAAAAAGCTATTTACATTGACAATTAACATCTGAGGTATTGATTAACAAATCAATACATTAACATTACACCTGATAACTTTATAACCAATACAATAGAAGAAATAAAAAGATTACCAACGTTTAACAGTTATTATTATTAATACTTGCCTTCCAATTGTTGGATTAAGTTGTTTGGGTACATAGTTATCTCGGTCTTTTACTACATGCTTTCCAACAGCTACCTTAACATAAGGGTCAGCCTGTTTAAAATAAAATATATTACAAAGTTATTCCAACATAAGTTATGTCACCACTATTTTTAACTACAGGTTAAAAAATTATACAAAAAAATACTAATTAAAAAAAAGTAACCTTTCCATCCATATCAGTTGGTTTCAAGTCAATGGCCTGTTGAAAAACAGAATTATATAAATATGTATGCACATATATATATATATATATATATATATATATATATATATATATATATATATATATATATATATATATATATATATATATATATATATATATATATATATATATTAAGGGTATGACTAAAAAGTACATTTCTTTTTTTTGGAAATGGTATAGCAGCATAAGATGAACTTTTACTTGTATTAACATAAAATAATAATTTTTTCCAAATCGAAAAAAAAAGTCCCCACCAGTGTAGATGAAAATTTGATTCTAGTAGTCTAAAAATACAAAAAAAAATTCTGATATTTGCATTTATAGTAGGGCAGGGTCACTTAACAATATTTAAAAAATACCATGATAGTTATTTTTGTAGCTTCATCTATCTAATTTTATATTATGTTTTGTTTCTTTGTTAAAAATGATGGAAATGGTCAATCTTACCAATTTGAAATCAAATATACAGGAGGTTGGGGGATAGGGGAGCTTGTTAAATTTTTTTCTACGTAATTTAAATATAAGAAATTTTGTAATTGTACACTTTTTATTAGAGAAAGAGTATTATAAGGTTTTTATCCAAGATTTTTTATCTGTTATTTAAAATTTTAAACAATGATAAACTATAACCATTAAATTTACTTCTCTGTCTTCTTTTGTTTATGAAAACGTTTATGAAAATCTTTTGAAATTATTTTGGTTATGAAAATGTTTATGAAATTAATAGCATATTTCTGCACTGTTATGTAGAACACGAAGACCATTGACAAATTTTTAAAAATCTTTTATAATCTAGAAATAAGTTCCTATCCAACCTTTGTTTGTTTCCTAATGGCCTCTTATAACCTTTAATTTTTTTTCTTATTTTTTATTTTGCAAAATATTTTTGCACAACATGCAATCCTTTCCTATCAATGAGAAAATTTACATCTTTTTGTCTAATTTTTCAAACTTTTGTCTTATCTTTCAAAATGATATCTTCACAGTTTTTTTAATTTTCATCAAATACATCTTCCTCTTAAAACCACATGTTTGCCCAAGTAGTTTTGTGTTTGTTTAAATTCTTTATATAGTGTTTTAAATCAACATTCCTGTCTCTAAATGTCAAATCAAAAGTAAAAAAATTCATTAAAGATATTGTAATTAAAAACATTTATATATTGATATTTTTACTATGAAAATATATTACTATATTATCAAGTCAATTTAAACTTGGACTGAATTTGTAATTTTTTGTAAATTTTTAGGCATTTTACTATAGTATAGTAATCATCTGATATGTTAGTGAGTATTATTTGTAAATTATATTATATAATTAATAAATATTTTTTTTTAGGTGTCACTCCATTGACTAGGTTGTAACTATATGAATGACACCAAACAAGTTTTGTTAATTTACGATGAGCAATTGTAAATTTTTATTGATATGGTTGAATAAAATAAATTAAAAAAATATAAAGCGTTTTCTTCACCTGATAAAGGACACATAATACTTTTTTTTTCCATGAGACAATTTCCTATTTCAATACATTAAAAAATAGACATAAAGCTATATTAATCATAGAAATGTATGGAAAATTAACACATAGCATAACCTCTATAATACAGTTTTCTTAATGAATAAAAAAAAATTCGTAATAAAAATACAATTACAAAATGAAAAGTATTATTTTATATAAAAAAGTTAAAAAAAAAATGTGAACAATCAAAAACTTATAAATTTTAATGAAAAATTAAATGTTGTAGAAATGTTAATAGAATCTTGTGAAAAAAATAAAAACGCAAACAAAATAATGCCTCTGCTTTATTCTTCAAAATTATTGTGGTATATAATTTAAATTTGTGGTCATAATTTGAAACAAAACATTGCCAAAATTTTGTGTCTTTTAATTATTAATAACTTGTGAATTTCAAAGGTATTTTACATATAGTTAAGCAAGTCATTTTGAAAAAGAGACTTTCAGTACATAAATCTGTGTGTATGTGTATATTTCTATATACATACAAATATATACATACAAATATATATATATATATATATATATATATATATATATATATATATATATATATATATATATATATATATATATAATATATATATATATATATGTATATATATATATTTACATATATATTCACCTACTGATTGTTGTAAAAACATGAAAATTTGTGATAATAGATTGTGGAAAGAGATTTGGGCTAAGAAATATTAAATACTATGCTATGGGATTGACATTATGTAATATATTTAAAAAAAAAAAGAAATCTAATCAGAAAAAAAATGTTGAAAATATATAGAAAAATGTAAAAAAAACTTTTTAGAAGAATCTGATGCAGTAGGATCCTCAGTGACACAAGAAATACTGGCGGTGGAATGTAGAATGTAAAAATGTAAAAACGTGGAAAAAAGTTTGGAGAATGAAGAATGCAAGTTTGACTAAATGCAAAGCAAAACATACTGCTGCAAAATTTAGAGAATAAAAAAACTGTTTAGAGTTTTAAAGCAAACGATCAGGAAAATAGATATGTTGTTGGAGAAAGCTGTATCTATAATATATTATATCTATGTCTATAGAATAGACATACAGATAGATGAAAATAAAAAATACATAAATATGAAGGTAAAAATAAGGTAGATGGCTTATTTTGAAAAATGGCTAAATAAAAAGTTTAATTTGAATAAAAAGGTTTAGCTGCAGTAAATAATATTAGGGACCTGTAAAGCCAATAACCTGTAGTGAATCAAATCAGCTATTCAGAAGGCTGAAATAGAAGTCTGCTGGCTCTTCTGGTTAATGACTAAGATGTTAAAGGTTTCAGGGGTGTGGGTGTTGAATGGGTGTAGATTTTTGCAATTAAAGTGTACATAAAACTAAAATCTGAAATAGTTGAAGAAAAAATTGGATGGTAAAGATTTATAAAACAGACAAAGATGCACTAGAATCTAGTTTATCAAGAAATAAAATTCCATTAACGGGTAATGAAAATTTGAGAAACGACTATTACCAGCAAAATAAAAGACAGTATATTTATTAATAACACACAGTTTGGTTTATGGTCAGGAAAGGAAACAACATCTAATATTTATTATAATGCAGGTTCAAGAAAATACTGGTAAACCAGTAAATTACTGTTCTATTTTATTTATATTTAAATAAATTTTTGAATATAAATAAAGTAATGCAGATATAGCAATGCAGTACCATTTTTATTAAATACTTTTTTCTTTTAAATAACTTCTTCAAAAGCTTAAATTATCCAATGTCAAATTATCTCCCAATGTCTCTTATCTTCTAATAGAGACCTAATTTTAGTGCATATTTTTAATTTTCAATTTAAATTATTCAATGTTTTATCTCCTAATAGAGATCTAATTTTAGTGCACAATAGCCCAGGTTCTGAAAATACTCTTTGAAATTTTAACACTTGTTGGATGCATGGTCATTAAGTATTTAAAAACTATTTGAACTTTCCTTGCATATTTTTTGTCCAAAGTACTTTAAACCCTACTTTGTTATTTTTTTTCAGACTTTCAGTGTTCTTTTCTTTAACCACTACACAATTTCAACAGTAAACAAATCTGTCCAATAACAGTAAAATACAAAAACTCAATAACAACAACAAAAAAATATAAATATATAGTGTAATCCCTTAATACTCCAGAAAATGTATATATATATATATATATATATATATATATATATATATATATATATATATATATATATATATATATATATATATATATATATATATATATATATATATATATATATATATATATATATATATATATGGCCTATCAGAAATCAATAAAATAAATGCAAAATTCATCTCTTCCAAATATGTACGAAAAATAAAACAAAACCTAAAAATAACACCCAACTATAACCTGGTCGACATCAAAAAGAGTCTCTGTGTAATGTCACACGAAAAAAGCTTACTTTGCCTCCTTGAAAAACTTTTAATAATTTCACACAAAGATAACCAAGAATCATTAAACAAAAAAACAGATATAAAATCAAAGTGTCATAACAAAAACAAGTTTTTGCTTTATACCTTGAATGCTAAGATTAAAAAATTAAACTACACTAGCGAACAATAACAGCTTTATAATTGTTTTTAGGTGTCACCTTCATCATAAAAATATTTTAGGTGTCACCTTTATCATAAATATAAATTTTTAAAAAACATAATGTACTTTAACCTGATCATTGTTATAAGCAATAAAACTTTTAGTAGTAAACATTATGTTATTTTTTATTTTATCTTGTCAAACAAACATGACATGTCAAATCATACAAATACAATGAATTTTCATTAACCAATATATTGACATATATTGACATTTATGTAAATTATGATATACAACTTTTTTTTAAGAATAGTTAAACTTCCCCTATTTTTTTTTATTTTATCTTGTCAAACAAACATGACATGTCAAATCATACAAATACAATGAATTTTCATTAACCAATATATTGACATATATGTAAATTATGATATACAACTTTTTTTTAAGAATAGTTAAACTTCCCCTATCTAAAATACCTTTGTCAAAAAATTTAATCACCTTGACAATATAAATGCGACATAAAACATTAATTGGATCCATGCTTGGAAGACGCTTGAATGAACCTAAAGTGTTATTTTCGTTGTAAAAAAATGAAGGTAGAGGAAACTTCCACACCTTTATAGCTCCCTGTAATGTTAAAAACATAAACTATTTTATAAAATCAAAAACATTTATTAATAATAAATTATTACAATTACATAATTTATTACAATTTTTATAATTCATTACAATTATAATAACTTTTCTCAATTATTATAATTGTACATTAACCTTAATGTTTTCAATTATTATAATTAACATTAACATTTACCTTAAACTTTCCATAAATTCTGCTTTCATCGTCATCATCATTTCCATTACTTTTACCCCTTAATAAAACCCAAGATTGAAGTACATCACATAGACCATCTAAATTTGGAACCTCCTCTAACTCTGTTTTATATATCTAAACAGTTTTGAAAATAAGAAATAAATAAAAGACTAAACAGTATTACATATTACTATTACATATTTAAAATAAAGAAAAGAAATTAAAAAAAAAAATTAAAGAATCACCTTTAACCTAATAATTTTTGGATTTATAATTTTTTTCTTCCCTAAATCAAGATCTTCAATATTTTCTTCACCATCTTCAGATTCTAATATTACAGTCTTTTTTCCTTTTTTTGCTTCAGCTAGTTTTTTTTTCTTTTTTGCAGCAGCAATAGCTTCTTGTAGACGCTCTTCATCTTTAACAGTTTCATAAAACCTTGCCCACCAATCTATTTGGTCCTCATTTTCTACTTCTTCTTTTTCTTCATCTACTGCTTCCTCTTCCTTTTCCTAATAAAATAAATATAAAATATAACCATATATACATTATTTAATTTACTAAAAAAAATTGTTGTATTTAGTTGTTACCTCTTCTTTTTCTGCAGCTTCTGCCTCTTCTTCTGCTTTAAGTTCATCTTCACCAACCATAATAACTTTCATCTCAACAGCATTATCATCATCATCTTCTTTTTCCTCATCTAAAAAGAAACAGTTTAAACTTATAGTTAAAAATAATAACTAAGGAGTAAAAAAAATCAGAAAAAAGATTTAAACCATTGGCATCAGTTACTGGTGGTGGAAGAGGAATTGTAGCTGGCTGTGGCGCAGCATCTGCAGCAGGAGGATCTCCAACATTCTCTGGACCAGGTTCATCAGACACTTTGCCTTCCAGTAAAGTGTCAAGCTCTATAACCTCCCTTTCTTCTTCTCCATCTTCCTCTTCGTTTCTAGCAATGGAAGGGTCTACAAAATCAGAAGCCTCAGCACCAATTTTTAATTCTGCATCATCAACATTTGTTTCTTCTTCTATTTCAACTAGTTTACTGCTTGGTGTTCCTAATAATAAAAATAATAATTTTGAATGCTTTGTAATTTTTATGTAAAGTTTTTTATTTTGACAACATTCTCTGCAACTTAATTGCATAAAGTATAATAATATACATAAATATGCATAAATTTTGGACATTCTCTGCAAATCAACACTGTCATATTTATTCTATTCACAAAATTAATGTTTCAAACAACATCACTATTTGTAGCTTTTCAACCAGCATCCCTTCTTTAATGAAAATCTATTGTTAAAATGTCATAAAAAGCTATTTATAGTATGACACCTTAAGTGTGATGGTGTATGCAAATGTTTTGCAAAATATATCAATATATAATCATAATTTTAACATATTTTTTAAAATTTCTCTCTTTTAAAGATCTCTTCAGATCAAACAATTTTGGAAGTAACAGAGTTTAAAAAAAAATAGTTTATATATATTAGCTCTTAGCTCTCTTGACAATAACAGAAAACTATAGAAAAAATGTATATTATAAGTGAAAGGTTATAAGCAAGAAAATCTTGGTTGGTGCCAGATAAAATTATCTAGACTTCATTCATTAAAACTATTATATGGTTCACCTTGAGTTGGACTTTGATTTTGGTCGTCTTTGGATTTTTGTAAGGGAGTTACTATTTTGTTACCAATACTTTTTAATGGAGTTGCTATTTGTTGCATCAATTTTTGACCAGGTGATTTTTGGGCTAAAAATATAAATATATATATATATATATATATATATATATATATATATATATATATATATATATATATATATATATATATATATATATATATATATATATATATATATATATATATATATATATGTATATATATATATATATATATATATATATATACATAAATATATATATATATATATATATATATATATATATATATATATATATATATATATATATATATATATATATATATATATATATATATATAAACACACACACACACACACACACACACACACACACACACACATATATATACCAAAATATATGTATACACATATGAATTTTCGTAAACAATATAACAAATGTTACCATGGAAATAGATTTTTATTTTATACATTTTGTGTTTTGCTTTTCATGTTTGAATTGATAAAGTAACTTTTAAAAAATTCACACACAAAACTAATTGAAAGTAACACTTTTTTTTTTTGTTTATTACAAACTCTTTTTTTTTAAGTATATTTGTCTAGTAACATTTTTTGCTGTCTTAAATGTGAAAATAAGACTATTTAGTAAGACAATATTTTTATTTTATTTTTATTTTTTAAATTTTGCCTAAAAACCAAAATTTAAAAAATAAAAAAAAATGTGATGAAAATATAGACACTTAAAATTTCAGTAATTACTAAAAATATAGACACATAAAATTTCAGCTATAAGTAAAAAAAGACAATATGGTGAGTGCTTCTAAACTTTGCATGTTAAAAACAGTAAAAAAACTAAGGCCTAAAAGGTAATGTCAGCTCCAAGGTTTTAACTCATATATATGAAAACTTTTCGTAATCTTTATAAACTATATTATAATTAATTTTCTTTTTAACACTTTTGTTTCACTCCAACCACTAATTAAGTTGGGAGATAAAAGAAAGCAAAGTTAAAAGATAACAGAAAACAAAGTTGGAAGATAACAGAAAGCAAAGTTGGGAGATAACAGAAAGCAAAGTTGAGAGATAACAGAAAGCAAAGAAAAGAGTTTAAGAGCATGAAAACGAAGACTTAAAAAAAAACTGTAAACTGTATAATATAAATTTTCTATATGGCAGAAAAGCATGACAAAAGAAAAAAAAACAAGTTACATAAAGTTTTTAAAACACAAAACAGTAACAGCAAAAAGATGCAACTTTGATGAGCACAATAAATAGCCATATATTCAATTGATTTTTTTTTTTTTTTTTATTTGCATTCACTCCCAACAAGGCTGCAAGCAACCACTATTAAGTTGGGAGTTACTAGGAAAAAAAAAAGAACAGAGTTATAGAGCAAGGAAACGGTTGACAGAAGACTTGAAAAATTGAAGGTTGTATGAGTCAGGAAAACATGAAGATGGGAGAGAGTTCCAAAGGATTGAAGTGCGGGGAAAAAAACTAGATGAATAAAAGTTTTTAGAGCATGCAGGGACAGATACAGTAAACGAATGAGACTTAGCTGAATGACGAGTAAAACGAGAATGAATTTTAGTTGATGGAACTAGAGATGATAACTCCTTTGAGCAGTGACCATGATAGTATTTGTAGAAAAAAGAAAGAGATGCAATTTTACAACGATGGGAAAGAGGCTCAAGCTTAACAGATAGTCCAGGTCCAATAACATTTACAATGCGTTTTTGAACCTTGTCAAGAAGAGAAAATGAATCGTTAGAAGAACCAGCCCAAATATGATAACAGTATTCCATACAGGGACAAATAAGAGATTTGTAGAGGTAGAGAATGGAATCAGAAGTAAGGAAATGGCGAGCACGATAAAGAGAAGCAACCTTAGCAGAAGCTAATTTAGCAATCGATTGTATATATGGTTTCCATGAAAGGTCAGTAGTAAGCGATAATCCAAGAAGACGTTAAAAGGAGGACTCAGTAAGAGGATTGCCATTCATTAATATAGGAATGTTGACCATATTACGGTAGTTGTTTGCAGTAAGCAATTGGGTTTTTTTAGAGTTGAAATTCACAAGCCACTGTGAACCCCAATCTATTACTGAAGTGAGATCAGATTTAAGATCAGCTGCTTGTTCTAGGCGATCAAAAAGAGATGACTTTTTGTCAAGACAGGAGTATAAAGTTGAGTCATCAGCAAAAAGAGCTACTTTAGATGAAAGGTTGTCAGGAAGATCGTTTATGTAGATAAGAAACAAAACAGGGCCCAGGATGGAACCTTGGGGAACCCCAAAAGTTACTGGAAATAAAGAAGAGTGTTGGCCTTCAAGGATGACTTTAATAAACCGGTTAGAAAGAAATGATTTGATAATCTCAAAAACTTTCCCAGAAACACCATATGAAGCAAGCTTATGGAGAAGACCAGTATGCCAAACTATGTCAAAAGCTTTAGATATGTCGAGAGGAATGGCCCTAGCCTCACCGCCTCCATCTAATGCACGATAAAATCTTTCAGTTACAGCAGTTAGCAAGTCGGCCGTAGAGCGAGAGGGTCAAAAACCATATTGATTGTCTGACAGTAGTTTATTTGACTCAAGATGAGATGTGAGGAATTTGTTGATCAAAGACTCAAAGACCTTGCTAATAACAGAAAGAAGACTGATCAGACAATAATTGGAGGGGTCAGAATTTTCTCCAGAGTTTTTGAATATTGGAACCACAGATGCCATTTTCCAACAAGCAGGAAAACAAGACTCAGTCAAACACTTGTTAAATAGTTTAGAGAGAATTGAAGAAAGTTCTGGAGAACAATTCTGCAAGACTGTGACAGGAATGTTGTCTGGACCACAAGCTGTAGACGAGTTTAATTGAGATATGACTTTAGCAACAGAAGCTGGAGTGATTTGAATATCTAACAATGGGTCAACCTGTTTGAATGGAATGGAAGGAAGAGAATGTCCATAAGATTCAAGAATGGAATTAGAAAAAAAGTTCTTTGCAAATAGTTCTGCCTTATCCTTGGATTGCAACCATAGCAAATACTAACTTTGCTATTGTTGATTAAATATAAATTTTTTTTGAAAATTTGGTATTGGAGAAAAATCAAATGAGACATAAAGTTGAGGACTAAGAAAAAGTTTAGCCATTAATTAATATAGAATTACTAAAATTACCTCTGTCTTAGAGAATTCAGATTGAATCAAGATTGCCTGTCTGTTCTAAAAAACAAAAATGTGACAAATTTTTTTCATGACAAGAGAATATAGTTTTGTCACAATCTTAAAGGTTAAAAACCTTAAAGGTTAGATTAACAGAAAGATCGTTAACACAAATAAAAAACAACAGAGGACTGAAAATCAAACTTTAAGTACCCTAATAGTTACTGGAAATAAAGATAAGTGCTATCAAATTTTCTTTGAAGTTACTGGAAATAAGATGAGTTTATAATAGTTATTGTCGGTTATCAAATCATTCTTTTTTATAACTAAAAAAGAATGATTCAATAATATTGACATACTCGATTTTACTGAAATCTTTTGATATATCAAAGGAAATAGCTCTTGCCTCAAAGCTTCTATTAAATACTAAATAAAATCTCCCAACTATTACAACTAACATGTATAATATAGTTCTGAAGAGCACTTTTATACTAAGAGAGTTCTCGAGAAGAATTCTTCCTTTGTGGAAAAACTTTAGTTGCAATCCTGTGTACTCAAGGATTTAAATTTGACTTTCTTTGAGAGTTTTTAAGAAATCTTTGAGACCATTTTAACTTTATTATCTTTGATACCTATAAAAATAACTAGATTATCTTTGATACCTATAAAAATAACTTGATATATAGGACTACTTATTTATCATCAGTTAAGAGTTAATTTTATTATAAAGATTTTAACTTTAGATTATCTTTGATACCTATAAAAATAACTTGATATATAGGACTACCTATTTATCATCACTTAAGAGTTAATTTTATTATAAAGATTTTTAATAGCACATTTTACAAACAAATAAAGTTAGAGGAGTGAGTATGATTATTTATAGCAAAATAATACAACTTCAAACTAATTAACTGAAAAATAAAATTTTTAAAAATAGATGTGCTGATTTTTGTATATGATTTTGGTTTTTGATTTAAAATTGCAGTTATATGAAGTGTTCAGATATTAATTTAGTAAATATTATCTGAAGTGCTCAAATATTTATTTAGTAAACTATTTTAACTTTTGTTCAAGCAAATTTAAAGACCAAACTCTATTTAAATTTAGTAAGATTTTTTTATGTATTAAATTTTTTTCATTTGAGTGGTTTAAACAGGTTTCCATAAAGCTGTTTAAACCACATTTTTTAATTTAAAAATGACAGTATGAAAGAGTTAAAGCAAATTTAGCTTAACTACAGTGGAAGAGCACTTGCTTTATAAACAAGATGTTCCAAGTTCAATCCCAACTACGTCTCTGGTTGTACTGCGCTCAATTTGTTTCTCTGCGCAGCAGCCTTATTTGTCAAAATTATTGATTTGGAGGTAAAGAGTTGATATAGGTTGAAACCACATAAAGTAGCTTCCTCAAATGTAGTGGCCTTCTTAGCTTTAAAGAGGTAAATAATTCTCTTACTGGTATTAGCTGATTTTTTAGATCAGGATTGATCTGATCGATGATATATTATATAAGAGATTATTGTTTGTTTGATTATTTGTAATTTGATGCTTTAAAATATTTTTTACAAGCTTATTCAACGCTCTCTTGACAAACACACATATATATATATGTAAGTGTGTGTAGGTAGATTTGGAGTTTCAGGCTTTAGGCGATCATCAGGTATTACATATAACTGTAGCATATAAAAATCTGTATACTAAAATACATTACAGAAACTTGTTATTTACAATAATAAAGTCATTGCAATTGTGTGCATATATATACATATATATATATATATATATATATATATATATATATATATATATATATATATATATATATATATATATATATATATACACATATATAAATGCATATTAATTTATATATATACGTATTGTAAAGGGCTCAGATATACACTATATACTATACAGTTTGTGGTAAAAAATAGCTCTTCAAATGTCTGCAGTATTTAAACTGACAAAATGATAACAAAATGCATTAATTTAATTGCTGAAACTAAATAGGATTAAAAAACCACAAAAACGCAATTTAAAAGACTACAATACTTTTAAAAAATTCTGAATGTTTTTCTTTTTCTTTTTTTACTGTAAAACAGTAAAAAAATATCTATATATTTAAAATATCTATAATAAAGAATCTTATAGCCTGACTCGCAATGGAGTGTTGCTACATCGACTGTGGGTTTGGTTAGGGGAGACAGCCTATCAAATAATAAAGGTAAAAAAAAAAATTTTCCAGTCTTTAAAATAATTAAAAAAAAAACAAAAAATGACATTTTATGGTAAAAACTTAAAAGCGACTATGCAAGAGTATGTATATATATATATATATATATATATATATATATATATATATATATATATATATATATATATATATATATATATATATATATATATATATATATATATATATATATATATATATATATATATATCTGTTATGTGCAAGTGTGTGTGTGAGTGTGTGGTCATGCAATAACTAGTTATATATATACAAAGTAAATATATAACTTTACCTTCTTCTGAGATATCGTGTAACAAAGGAACTGATTCTTTTGTATATTTTAAAGGAGTAGCTGGCTTACTGATTAGCTGTTTAAATGGAGTGACATTTATATTTGACTCAGTGTTTTCTTTTTCCAAATTTTTAGATGTAGGCTGAGAACGTTGAGGGGTTTTTCTAGGAGTAAATATTTTCTTCAAAGGAATTTTATCTATTGTTCCTGGATTAGAAATTATATGATAATGAATTTGGCTTGATTGCTTAGATGCATTTGAAACACGACGAGAACTCACTTTTTTAGTGAGGGCTGCTCCCTGTGATGAAGAAACACTTTTGCGACGTTGATTTAAAGACATTTCCACAGTTGCTAAAGGAGAATAACCTTTAGGAGAAAAAAGCTTTTCATTTTTTGGAGAGATTGATTTATTTGACATCAACTTTGATGCTGCAAGTGAATGGACAGGCGATCCTTTCTTTGAACCAGGAGCAAATGAGACAGATTTACTAGGGGCAATAGATGGTGTTTTAACTTTTTCTTCACCAGCATTCAACTTTTTAGATCCTGCTAAGGAAGCACTAGTTTCATTTTTTATTTCCTCATTTTGTGCATCCTCTGTAGTCTCTGGATTGCCATCAGGATTTTCGTCTTTTTTTTCTTCGTCTTCGCCAGTAACTTCATCCATGTAAGCAGAACTGTCATGCATATATCCAAGTAGTGAATTAATAATACTTGTTCCAACTAGTATCTCATTTCCAAACATTCGCATTTCTCGAAGTGATATTGTAAGTGGAGGACAGTAAACTGCTTCCTCTGGAAGATCCTTAAAAGCCAATTTAAAAAGTTAAACTCATTGTTGTTACAATTTAAAATGCACAAAAATAAAATAAAAATATAATATAAAATATGAAAATCTAACTTTGTTATATTAAAAATTAATTTTAAAAACAAAGTGTAAAAAAAAAAATGTAAGAAAATATTTATTGTGCACTTTAAGTGCAAAACATGCAGGGAAAAACATGCACTGTACATGGAGTGTACATACATTGACTGACTTAAATAGAGTCAAATATGTGAGGAGTTAACATACATCAACTCAGGGTTTGGGTACACTTTGAATAAGAACAAAACTCTAGACATAGATTCATTAAAACAATCCAAATTATTCCATTTTTGGAAAATATTTTACTGCAGCTATTTTATTATTTCACAAAAAATGTAAGAAAATATTTATTGTGCATTTTGAGTGCAAAACATGCAGGTAGTGTACATATATTGACTGCCTTAAATAGGGAGAATTCTAGACATAAATTTATTAAAACAATTCAAATTATTCTATTTTTGCAAATATTTTACTGCTTTTAAATATTTTTATTTCACAAAATAAGATTACTTTTCTTCAATTAAATAAAACCAAAACCCAAAATTTTTTGGATATTTATACATATTGAAGGTATATGCAGTTAGCTATTTATACATACCATATTTATTTTTTGTTTTTGATTTTTTATTTGCTTCAACATATTTAAATAGAGAAAACATTAAGGAAATGTACATACATTAACCAGGTTAAATAGGAAGAACACGAGGTAAAGCACATTAGGGCTATAACTAAAAAAGTATTTGAGCTGGTTCTAAAAAAAAATTTCTGCATTAAGACATGATATGCTTTTGGAGAAAAGAACATGATATGCTTTTGGAGAAAAATAACTTTAGTAAAATAAGACACCCACCATGCAATTGGGTGGCATCGTGGGTGTCTTATTTTACTAAAGTTATAATATTAAAAGTATATCATGTTGGACCTCAAAAGAAGTGACATTTTATAGAGATTTCATAAATGACAATCTTTTCAAATGCCTTCTTAAAAAAATTGTCTGTAAAAAACTTCTTAAAAAGTACTTTTTCTTAAATTTTTGTTTAAAAACATAATTTTTTTTATAAGAAAAATATTTTTTAAATGTTTTTAAACACTAAAACTTTATAGTTTTAAAAAGAATTTTAAGTTAAACCTTACTGATCTAGGGATTTTTTAAATTTTTCTTCTGAGTTTAAAAAAAATCTTTATTAGATTTTTTTTTCATAATTATTATTATCAGAGAAAACAGTAATGTAAGGCAAAAAAATATAAACAATTATAAAGGAACAGGAGTCAAAGCTCCAGTTCATGCCATAAATAAAATACTTAACAATAACAAAAAAGATGCAATTCTTTTGATGGGTAAAAAGAATGCCTTTAATTGTATGAATCAAGTTGCTTTACACAACACTCAGGTCATTTGTCGAATAAATTTGTTGATGGTCTTTGTAGCATGTGCACAAGAAATTTCCTCCCAAAAAGGCACAACTCAAGGTGATACTTTTACTATGCCCAGGTACTATTTTGACTAATTATAGAACACCTGCTTTTAAGTCAACCAAAAATTAAACAGGTGTAGTTAGCAGACAGTGCTATAGTTAGTAGAAGTGTAAAAAACTTACATAGCTGGTACCAACACCTTATTGACAAATGGTGTAAACACAGCTACTATGTAAACTAATCAAAATGATGGCTAATTGTAAAGGCTCTATTATTAGCAGAGAATGCTGGTATAGTTACATAAATCAGTCAGAATAACTTTTATTTTTTGACATCTTCACTTCCAACAAGACTGCAAGCAACCACTATTAGAGTTATAAGTTACTGTAAAAAAAGATGAAGTTTATAGAGCAAGAAAACAATTGACAGACAACTTACAAGATTGCAAATTATATGGATTAGGAAAACAAGATGAAAGAAGTGAATTCCAAAGAACTGATGTTCAAGGAAAAAACTAGACATATAAGAATTTTTGAAAACTTAGAAACAGTCACAGTAAAAGAATGAGACTTAATTGAATAACACAAGTAAAACGAGAATGAATTTTAGTAGATAGCACAAGAGACGCTAGCTCTTTTGAGCAGTGCCCATAGTATTTATAGAAAAGAAAAAGAGAAGCAACATTATGTTGATGTGATAATGGTTGGAGATTAGCTGCAAGAGCAGTTTTAATTATTTTTACAATGCATTTTTTGCATCTTGTCTAAAAGAGAAAGAACACCAAGATATGGCAACAGTATTCCATGCATAGACGGATTTGAGATTTATAGAAGCCAACACTCTCTATAATAGAGATAAAGAAAAGAGAATCTTGAGTAAAAAAGTGGCGAGCAAGTTAAAGAGATGCAACCTTAGCAGATAACAATTTTGCAACTGATTTAATATATGCTTTCCAAGAAAGATTGTAAGTAAGAGTTAACCCTAGAAGATGAAGGATAGATGACTCATCTAGCACATTACCGTTCATATATATAGGAAAATCTAAATTATTGCGATAACGATTAGCGGAAAAATATTGAGCTTAAGAAAAAAATTTATTTAAAGTTCACCAGCCACTGAGAGCCCCATGATGTAGCAGAAGTAAAATCCTTTTCAAAAACATAAGCCCCCTTTTAGAAATCAGAGAGTGTTGGCTTCTTATCAAGACAAGAATAAATGGTAGTACCATCAGCAAACAATGCCACCTTAGATTTAAGAATTTCTGGAAGATCGTTAATGTAAATTTAAAAGAGTAAAGGGCCAAGGATAGAACCTTGAGGAACCCCTGAAGTTACAAGATATGAATAAGAGTGCTGTCCATTGAGAGCAACTTTTATACTACGATTGTTAAGGAAGATTCAATAATCTTAAAGATGTTACCTGATACATTGTATCAATAAAGCTTATGGAGAAGACCAGCATGCCAAATTTTATCAGGCTTTAGAAATTTTGAGAGCAATAGCCGTGGCTTTTTTATATCTTCAGAGGGTATACAACATATGGGTTCAGTAATTAGTTCTCAAAGTTTTAAAAAGAAAGATTGAATTTAGAAAGTACCAATATGGTTAAACGAATTAAAATAACGAAAGTGCTATTTTAATAATAAATATTAAAAATCTCTTGCTGCTACTTTAATAATATTTAAAGTAATAGTAGCATATTGTTATATAGTACCCTGAAAATACACAAAAAAAAGTATTAAAATAAAAGTTTACCTTTTGCAAATTTTTTTTAAGAAATGAAAACAACATTATAAAGTATTTAGACTCAACCACAAATTTATAATTTTCTAAATAGGACTTTAATTAAAATGTACATTTTTTAAAAAATATTTTAAAAATTCGAACAATATTTAGCACCCATAGACAAAATGCTTAGATTTGTTGTTGGTAAACAATACCCCTATCGAGGATCACATTAAAAAACATTTTACATAACTCTAATAAAATATTTAAAATTTTACATAGAAAACCCATCGTTCTCATATTCCATGATTTTAAAAGCATGACGAAAAGAGGCAAATGTGCAAATAGTGTTAAAAATGCATTAATGCTACAAAAAAAGTGGTGACGGGTACTTTACAAAAAATTAAATTACTCATAAAGCTAAGACTTAATTTATTTTTGTTGAAATAAAAACTATTTAGGTAAGCATCATTATAAAAAAAAAAATCAATACATTTGATTAAGTGGTCTTTGAGAAAACTCAATTTGAAAATGTCCAAATTTCAACCGATCATAGTGATAAAAACAAAAAGCTTTACCAGGATTGTACTAGAAAATTTCAAAAAAATATAATTGAGCAAGAGACTATAACAGAGAAAATAACAGCAATTGATTTAATCCAACCAGAGTTTTTGAAATATATTCAGAACAGTTGAACTAAAAAAAGTTGCTTGTATATAGGTTGCTTGTAAATAATGGTTATAAATAATATAAAGAGGTTACTTATATGCCTTATGTCGCAGCATAAAACACAGTACTCCCAAACAAACTAAAATTCCAAAAAGTCAAAAAATTGTTTTAGAGCCATTAAGAAGGAAACAAGAATGTGTAAGTACTTGGTTAAACACACAACTACTAGAAAAGCAAGGTTTTATTTTAAACAAGGAAGAATTTTGACAAGCATTACACACACAATATAAATTTGATTTTAAAAATATCCCAATTGTGATAATGAGAATTTTTACTTTTATAGAGCAAATAAAATTAATTAATAATAAAGCAAATGGTTTTTGGCAAAATGGACTGACTACAATATTTAACTTATGATTTCATTTCCATGACCTACTAAAATCTGGATACTGCAGCTTCAATAAAAAATACGCACACACAAAAAAATATATATGGTTAACAAGCTTGTAAAGACGAACATGGCAGTATGACAAGGTATTTTTATATGAATTACTTATGTAGCGAGGTTATGTTACATTATATGTATTACTTATGTAGCTTATGTTACAAGCAAAGTATACCTAACTACATAACTACTAGTTTATATGACAGTTAGGGAGAGATGATACAAGATGATACAAGAGAGAAATGTGTACAGATTGTTATAAATTAGAAGACGGCAAAAATAAATCTGAAAAATAACATAAAAAGTAATTGATTGTAATGATGTGGATAAGAACAAAATTATCTTTTGAAATTTTTCTCAACAATTTTAAAAATTGCTGTTTCTTATTACTATTTTTTAATTAATGCTATATTTTGATTCATGATAAATTAAAGTTAAAACTGTAGAAAAGATTGCGCCAATCCATTCTTTAATAAAATTTTGTGTAACTCTAGTATAATTTAACATACTTGAAAAAAATTTCAATTAAAAAAAGTTAACTTAATAAAAAAATATTACAATAAAACTGTTTCCCCAATTCCTTTTAGATGCTACTGTAGGCTATTTTGGGATTCAAATTTTAATTCAATTCAATTTAATAAAGAAAATGTAAAATATTATAATTAATATGCAATTTTTGAAACTAATAGAAATAAAAAAATTTAATAATAATAGTAATTTTATATTGAATTGATAATTATTAAATTAAAATCATATATAAAATTAAAATTTACCAAATCAAAGTATCCCCATGGTTCTGTAAAATTTGGGTTCTTTTTTGCTGAAACAATAACTGGAGATTTTAAAGATACACTGACACATTCAAATTCAACTTGCGGTCTCTCAACAGCTTGAAAGTTTATAGATTTTAATTCTCGTACACCCCAAAATAAACACTACAAATGATATATATATATATATATATATATATATATATATATATATATATATATATGTATATATATATATATATATATATATATATATATATATATATATATATATATATATATATATATATATATATATATATATATATATATATATATATATATATATATATATATATATATATATTATTTATGTAATACATATATATGTATATATACAAAATATATACATACATATAATAATATACTACTGTGATCAAAAAGTAAGGTGAAATTGTCATTTAAAACTCGCGGGCATTATGAAGGCAGGCATTTTTTTTCCTGGGTTGGTAGGACTGTCTATAATAATTGCCAAGCATCTGTTTGTCAAAAGGTTTAATTATCTCCAAGTTACACATGTTTTTGTAAACAACCAAAAGTAAATTTTTTGATTTCTACAATGGATGATTTTGTTGAGCAAAGAACTTGCATCAAATTTTGTTTGCAAAACAAATACTATTGTGCAGGTACATTGAAAATATTGCGGAAAGTCTTTGGTGTTCAAACTATGGCAAAAAAAAATGTTTAAAAGAGGTACAATGAAATCAAAGAGGGCAGAGAATGCGTTAAAGACGAACTGCGCTCTGGACGACCATCAACATCTACCAACAAGGAATCCAAAAAAATCAAAGATTTGGTGCTTGAAAAATCATTGATTGACAATTAGAGATCTGGCTGATAGTGTTTGAATATCATTTGGCTTAGCCCAAACCATTTTGAAGAATGTTTTGTGCCTCAAACGTGTCAATTGGTGCCAAAGCTTTTAATCCAAAAAAAATTTTTGGATAAAAAGCTTTGGCAAAGTCAATCAAAAATCAAAGTCATGTTGAAAGTTTTCTTTAATTATCGTGGTGTGGTGCACTATGAATTCCTTCTGCCAGGCCATACTGTCAACAAAGAATATTATTTGAGCGTTGTGCTTCAGTTACGTGAAGGTATTTGTCTGAAACAGCCAGATTTATGTGCGATTAACTCTTGGTTCCTTCATAACGTTAATGCATTATGTCATACTGCATTGATTCTCTCAACTTTTTGGCCAAAAACTCAACTAATATCATTCCGCAACCACCGTATTGCCCTGTCCCAGCCTATTCAGCAAACTCAAAAAACCAATGTAAGGACGCCATTTTGTCACAATTGAGGAGATAAAAACCAAATCGAAGGTCTTTAAGGCTATACTGGAAAAAGACTTTTCCGACTGTTTTAAGGACTGGAAAAAGCATTGGAAAAAGTGCATTTTATCACATGGGGATTACTTTAAAGGTGATGAAATTGATTTGGAAGAATAATTAAAGAATTTTCATTTTATAAATAATTTCACCTTACTTTTTGATTACAATAGTGTGTATATATATATATATATATATATATATATATATATATATATATATATATATATATATATATATATATATATATATATATATATATATATATATATATATATATATATATATATACTATATATATATATATATATATATATATATATATATATATATATATATATATATATATATATATATATATATATATATATATATATATATATATATATATCAAGACGTGTGATTTCACATTTTTATATGACCACGCAAGTTACATTTTGCTATGACGGTTTGACGGCGGCTTATTCAAAAAACATTTTAAAAAAGCGCTAAATAAAAAATATTCTAAAAAAGTGAAACTAATTACATCAAAACTTCTTAACAAATGCTTTTATATTAGCGAAACGATTTTAAATAAAGTAACAATTTACTGAAAAAAAATTTTGTTTTTTAAATAAAATTGACATATTTTTTTAATTTAAAACATATAAAGTGTTTATTTCTAAAATAAACCTTATTAAAAAATAAAAAATTGTTTTGTTTTTATAAACGATGACATTCAATGACTACGAAAGTTTCTTTAACGAATTTAAATATAAGAATGATTAAAGTAAATGCAATTTAAAAAATTTAAAAAAATTTTGTTAAAAAAAAAAGTTTTATAAACCGTTACAATTTAATAATTTTAATCTTAAATGCTTTTATAATTTCGAAACGCTTTTAATAAAGTAAAAAAAAAAACTTCTAATTAATTTAAAAAAAAGTATTAATAAAATGTTTTTTTATTCTATTTATATAACTAAGTCTTTTTTATGAGATGTTTAACTTTTGAACATATTAAATAAATAAAAAATATATAAAAATGTTGAAACAAAGATTGAAATGGTTTTTTAATGCGTAAATTAAATAGACTAAGCATTTTAGTTAGATGAGTTTTGTTTTAGTTGCGTTATATATATTTATTTTTTTGTGCTTTTGCTTTAACTAAGTATTTTTTTTTTCTTTTGTTAAAATTTATTTATTTTTTTAATTTATTTTTTTCAGATAAGTTTAGGTAAGTTTTTGTAGCGCGTTTTTAAATTTTAAAAATATGCAGTGGTCAAATCGTTAAAACATTATTTTTTGCATGGTCATATAAAGACGTGAAATCGCAAGTCATCCTGTGAGAGCCTGATATATATATATATATATTTATATATATATATATATATATATATATATATATATATATATATATATATATATATATATATATATATATATATATACACACATGTATTTTTAAATATACAGAGGTTAAAATAAGTGTCTGACATTAGCAGAGCTGTTTTCAAGTCGCTTTGGAGCAAGTCTCAAGTCACTGAGGTCAAGTCTTAAGTCAAGTCTCAAGTCATATAGTAACATGTCAAGTCAAGTCTCAAGTCAAGTCATATTACAATAAAAGATTTCCGTGCATGTGGCTAGTGGCATGAGTTCGGAGGCCCCTTCCAAAACCTGTCATAAAAACAATGAAATTCTTCTTACAAGAGGGGCATGGGGGAACCTTGTGATGGCTTTGGTAGCTACATTCAAACAGCCACCTTACAATTATAAAATACAGCATGATAATAGTTATAATTTTACTTTATTTACTAAAGTATTTTAAAAGTAAAATAAACCATCTGTAATAAAATAGCTAAGGAGTCATAATACACAATACAGCGACATAACACTTCATAAGATATTTAGCCAATTTACTAATGTTTTTATTCTATCATTCTTTTGAAAAAAAGATTACAAATGCTGATTTTCATAAAAAATTATAGTAATATATCAGTGTTACATTTTAAAAACACTAACTGACAAACAGTGTCATAATTTAAACTTGCACGCTTAGGGTTCATAATCAGGCCACCCTGACTGAATACTCTTTCAACAGGAGCACTGCTTGCAGGTACCACAAAAGTATATATGGCAGCACTTTGGAGAATTGGTAATTTTTGCCCATGCATTTTCCAAAATTGGAGACAATCTATGTCTAGGGTATTGAAATTAGATGCAAACACTTCATTTACCAGTTCCTCATAGCAATGAAACTGAGTATCAAAACTTTTAACAGGTAGTTGTGATGTAGTTCCAGTCTGAATGACAGGTGTAGATCTACAATAAGAGTACAAAAATGAATTAGTTCTTGGCTTCTTAGAGGGTAGGTTTTCTGGTAAAACTTTTCCGTCCAAGGCTACATTGGTATGGCTAAACTGCTTGTTGCAGAATTGACGAATTTTTGAAATAATATTTGTCTTTAAGTTGTCTGTTTGACCTGGATTGACATGACATAGCTTCTCAGTCTAAAAGAAAGAAAAATTGGGATCCAAAACTGTGGCAATAATATATATCAAGTCATTAAATGTTAGTTTCTTATCTATTGATGGGATAAGGTCAACATTTGCAAATATACCAGAAAATCTTTTTTGAAGACTGTTTTGCAATACCTGTTTCATACCGGGCAGATAAGTTGTATTAAATTGTTCCAAGTGACTATATAGCCCAACGATAGAGGGAACTACTAATGAAATTGTTATATTTTTTTCACCTTGAGTCATATTGGTGGCTTCAAGAAATGGTTGCAATAAATCAATAAGCTCTCTAAGTTACACGTATTCTCTTTCATTTAGTATTAGATTGCAGTGACTTAAATCATCAAGCAGGTTTTTCAATTTCTTTTCATCTAAATTGACAATTTTATTGTCAATTTATGTGACGGAATGTGGAATTCCATCTTGTTGCGTTTACTCGAGGAATACCCTGTTTGTAGCCAAATGTTTTATCAAAAGCCTCTTTAAATGTTGTACTAGTATGAAGCAAAGTGCATATTTTGGATGCTTTAGCTTGAGCAGAGTAAATTTTTGCCTCTTTAAGACCATCACCAACAACTAATTGTAGGGTGTGAGCAAAACAGCTTAGTCTTGTAACCTCTCTTCTTGGGTTAAGCTGATTGATATTTTGGATTATTTTGTCCGGTGCAATAATGTCTTCTCAGAGGTCTTCATTTTCTAAGTCCTCTGCAAGTTCCTCTGCAGATGCATCACCACCACCTTCAGGGTCTTCTGGAAAATTTGTAGTAAATGCTTTGCGCATGTTTGAGGCATTGTCCGTCACAACATATACAACTTTGTCAAGAATTTTGTCAAGAATGTTTTACAAATGGATTCATAATGTTCTGCTATGTTATCACCAGTGTGAGCACCTAAGAACCTATCGCATGCCAACAGTTGTGTGTGACAGTGATAGTTATGTATGTAATGCGCTGTTACACCAAGGTAACTCCTCATTTTTCTATCTGACCAAATATCAAGTGTTAGGGAAATGCTTGCAGCTTGACATAAATTTTCAGTTAATTTTTCCTTTGCATCCGTATACGTTTTCTCTAAATAGATTTTTACGACAAAACGGCTAATAGTTGAGCACTGAGGATCAAGAACATTATTGTATTGCCTAAAATGTTCACTTTCTACTATAGACATGGGTAGTGATGCACCAACTACTAGATATTTCACAACGGCTGCCAAAATTCTTCGTTGCTTGGGGTGGGTGCGACCGTATGTTGTCATAGAACTCTCTCCCAAAGCAACTACAAATAATAAATGTAATATCATTCTCATTCTATTAAGTAATAATCCTTAACGCCATGCTTTATACGCTAAGTTTAAAGCTTTATTTAAAAGCTTCGGGTTAAGTGGTAAGATGTAGTGCGACACTGCAACGTATTGTCGTACAAGCTAATAAGAACTATAAGAACTGTTATGGAATGTCAGACCTCTAGTAGACTACTTCTCTACTAGAGGTAGACATAGAACGGACTCTAGGGTTTAATATATTTTAAATATCTAGTAAAATAAAAACAAATTAGTATAAGTAAATAACCTGCTCGAAAGTCTGAAATCTTAGATTGGTCTGGTGAAGCAGCCGTTGGTCTTGTCTGAATAAATTTTTGATGTAATTCATATTTTCCTAAAGATTTTGCCTTTTTGATATCACCACCAGACTTAGCAAACTCTTGATAACAGGCAACAAGTGAGCCTAGTGTCCTCAAAGATCCTGATTGAAAAAGATGCTTTGGTTCTGTGTTGCACCAAGAGCAAGGGTGAGTACTTGCATGGCTCTGAAGGCCACAAAGGATGTTGGCAAGTTTCATGTCGCATGAGACAACAAAGTTGACTTTGTCTAACTTGATTAAAGACAAGATCTGCTTCACATTTTCAAAGTTTTCTGGTAGTCCTTCTGATAAAGCCACAAGCATTTGACGCTTTACACTACTGTCTCTGAGTTAAAAGTTTTTTCTGTGGTGGTGAGCTTGAATCACAGTGAGAATCCAAATCCATGATGCCAAGAGAAACTTTCAGAAATCCTCCACCTTCATTAATTCCCAACTTGACAATATGATTCTGGAAAACTCTTCGAGAAAGCAGGACTTCATTCAAAAGCTCGGCAAGATCCTTGCAATGCACAACCACAAAGTCAGTGGAGTTACTCTCTGATAAAACTTGGATGCTGGTTTGAGTAAAAAACTTAGACAACTGTTTGCCAATGGCTTCAAACTTAGCAAGAAAACTAGTCTCCACAATCTTGGTGTCACTGACTCTGTTGATGGTTGATGCCAATTTCTTCATGCCAAGGTTGGACAGTCCTGTGTTTAGCTGAACTTGTACAAGATCTTCAGTTTTGATGCTGGGTTTAGGAAAAAGAGCTCTTGCACTTGAGCTTCCTAAAAATGAAATTATATAAGGTTTAGTAGAGATGACTTGAGTAGCTATTTGCTCTGCAGCGAGTGGATCAGCTGTAGCTAGCTGCTTGAGATTCTCTCTAAAAGTGAATGGAGTGCACTGATGTGGCAGACCTCTTCCAACTAGACTCAAACAATCACCACATCTTTGAGGGGAACAATCTTCCACAGGTTTAGAATAGTCCACTGGGCTCTTGTCATTCAACTTCAAATGACCAACTTGACAAATAAGACAGTTGCAACCTTGATCTCTTGTTGGTGGTCTAACTTTTATAGATGAGAAAGGAAACAAAGGTGGCAGGTTAACATCTTTTCCTTCATCTTTTCTCCGAAGAATTGTTCGACATGAGTCACAATTGCCTCTTGGCACTCTGGTATCAGTCAAATCAAGACTTGTATGGTAATGCTTGAGGATCTTTTCAACAAGGAACTGTGTCAACTCTCAAGAGCACTTCTTCAGACTCAAGCCACAGACAGATTTCCGACAGTCTTCATGACTTTTTGAAAAATTTGGCATTTTGAAATTTTTCTCACACAACTGATAAGTGAAACACTTTAAATAAACATGTTCACTGCCAATTCCCAGAATTTTTAGCTTGTTTACAATTTTGATGCAAAACTTAAAACAAACATGTTCACTGCCTATTCCCGGAATTTTCGGCTTGTTTACAATTTTGATGCAAAACTTAAAATAAACATGTTCACTACCTATTCCCGGAATTTTTAGCTTGTTTACAATTTTGATGCAACAAAATGTTTATAATATAGTTCAACCATGAAATTGTAGGTAAAATTTTATCTTCTGAGTTAAAATAAATACAAATTATACTTGCTATATAGACTGTTATGTTTTAAAGTAATAAATTTTGGAGAGTTTTTGAATGCTATAAAAATGCAAAACTTGAAACGCTGTCATTTTGCCCTATTGCGCAAAGTACTAAAAACTAAAAATCAAAATTATTTTCTTGGACGAAATAGTTAGATTTCAAATTTTACATTTTTGGAGTCAGGAAACATTGTAGTTTCACCCTGTTAAAGCGGTTTTCTCGGGTCAGCTCAAAGTAGTTTTTGGTCATTTTTTACAACAGTGAGCAATCCAAAGACTTCCGGAATGGCGGACGCTTTTTTATAATGAGTTTTATAAATAAATTACATGAAAAAATAATAATAATAAAAGATAATTTTGAAAGTAAAAATAAATAAGAGAAAAATGAAGATTGTTAAGGAAAGAAAAAGAAAGAATTTAAAAAAACTTAAATAAGAAATTAAAATCACCGAACATTTATAAACAATAAATTTCATGAGTTAAAGAAAAAATGAACCAATCAGAACGCACATAAAAAAGTTGGAAAGCCGAAATGCGATATTTTTCTTCGGATCTTGCTTAGACTACAAACCAGTTAAATGAAAGTTTTTTTTTTTTTTTTTTATTTTACTTCACCTCCTCAAGGCCGAGAAGGCCACTACAAACGAGGAGGCTACTTGTTTTGTGGCTATAACCCTCTCTCAACTCTATAACTCCGAAACACGAACCTTGACGAACAAGGCCGCTGCGCGGAGAAACGAGTTGAGCGCGGTACTACCAGGGACGTGGTGGGGATCGAACTCGAAACCACTCGTTTATGAAGCGAGCGCTCTACCACTACACCACTACCGCAAGTTAAAATAAAAACATTCGAAAATAAAAAATAGTTAAAAAACATTTGAATTAAAATAGAAGATAAATTGCTCCATTTTTGAAGAGACGGAAAATAATAATTTTAAAGTCGCTAAGCCAAAATTAGCAAGTCTCGAGTTAAGTCGCAAGTCTCAGGGTAAAACCCAAGTCAAGTCTCGAGTCGAGTCACTGGTGTGACTTAAGTCAGACTCGAGTTCGAGTCGGTTGACTCGAGTCTCCAGCTCTGGACATTAGTGACCCGATTCTTTTTGAGACCTGTTTGATTGAGTCAGACTTTATAAAAAGTAAAAAATTGAATAAAAATAATGTTGAATAAAGTGATAATGTGAAAATAATAAAATTTATTAACAACTGTAGAAAATATGAAATAAATACAATTGTATTAGTATTAATATTTTTTTAAAGTACACTTTTATGTTTATTACAGAAAATATTAAGATAAATTTCCAAACTCTGGACTTGTTACTTTTTATAATAAAAAACAATACAAAAAATAATAACAAACTACAGAAAACTTTTAAAAACTATTGTAACAAAGTTATGACAAACCTCAATTCTGTGCGGACACATGACAGGTCTAATATTCTCTGGCACAAGAAAAAAATTTCCACCATTAACTTCATCTTCAACTTCAATTGGTTGTGAAGGAAGGTTAGCATTGTCGTCCTCATTTTCTGATAACTAATGAGTTAAACATTATTTCAGCAGTGTTCTTTAAACAAAGCTTAATTAAAATTAATGCAACATCAACATACCTGAAAAAGTTCGAAAGCAGCAAGTAACTCTCCAGCTTCACTATCCCCTCTGTAAATCTGAAACCATTCAAGTCTCGGTGGAAAAAACGGTTTATCATAGGGATCAGAAATTTGTTTTACTAAAGGCCGACACATAGCCCGACCAATGAATTCAATATCGCCCTGATAAAATTAAAAAATAATTTTTTTTTTTTTTTCTAAAGCTAAGTTTTTATCTAATTTTCTGTTTTATTCATTTCAGACTAGAGCTGCCAATAACCTGATTTTTATAAAGAAGATAAGATTGATAAACTATAATTTCTATCACAATCTCCTACAAAAAAAATCAGGGTGATTTATTATTTCCCTCCATTAAATAAAACAATACTTTTTAATCTTTATTGATCAACCTTTTCCCAAAAATCTCAAGTTAAACAAAGTACTTAACTTAAAGTTTTTTTATATAACATCAGATCAATTATCAACTTAATAAACAAAAATATTTGTATTATAAAATATAAGTATAGAAAAAATTCTTTAATAGTTTTATAATACTTTATAAACATTGCACACTTTAACATCCAGTGAAATGTCTGTTTTTTTTTTCTCTATGCTATCTTTCTAACTCAAGTAATTTTGACTTTCACTCTTATTTACTTTACTCTTCCTAAAATAAAGTACCTGTAAGTAGTGCAAGTATGGGGAAGAACCTAAAAAAATATGGATACAAGGGGGAGGGGTTGGTAAAGATAGCGAGTATATATGCAGATTGACTTATGTTCTCTATTTCCCCTAAAACTTGTTTTTTTTTTAAAAAAAAAACATAGAATTTCACAAAATAAAAAAATCAATTTTATGTCAGGTAACGTGTCAAATTAACCAAGTTTTTTTGTGTTTAATGTATATATATACTACTTTTGCTTTTACTAGACTTAAAAAAACATTTTAAAAGTATTTACCCCCTCATCATAGTCAAATATTTCTGCCATAATGGTTGGTGGGTTTTGTACAATAAAATCCATTTCACCATAAATAACAAGATCATTAAAAACTAGAGTTTGATTCCATGTTGGGCTCCTTGTTTCCCATATAACACTTGTGTCAGCAGCCTGATTACTTAAAATCACACGACCAAATGCATCTTAATTAAAAGCAGTAAAAAACTTAATTTATAAATAACACAATTAAAATGGAATTTTTCAAAACAAAAATTAAAACAAAATTCTTCAACAAAATGAAAAAACTAAATATATACATAGATTACAAAATTGGTTTTTAAATGATATATATGTAATCATTTTAAAACTTTTTTCCAATGAAAGCAAGGATACTAGTGTTAACAAAGTTCTAATAATGGCCTCTGCCAAAAATGTTAGCAAAGCCACATAAATCTTCAGATTCTTATAGAGAAAACAAAGTTCAACAATTTAAAGTTCTACATGGCAACAGATCTAAAATTATTTAACATCGCTTTAGGTTTGTCAAGACAATAGGAAAAATATTCCTATCAAAACTATTCATGGAAAATTATAAATATTCGAAAAAATTTGTATAAAAACTTTAAAAACAGATCTAAAAAAGTGACTATGCTCCTCTACAAGAATGGTATACATCCATGTTTCCAGGTTAAGATTGGAAAGATGTATTTAAAATAATTACTTGTGAAAGATGTACTTAAAATAATTACTTCATCTAGAACTTCATTTAATATTATATATATAAATACTATAAATATTATAACTGAGATTAAGAAGTCTATTCTGTAAAAAATCTAAAATTGTTGTGTGTCAAAAAAAATATTTGTTGTGAATATAGCTGAAATTAAAAACTTTTTTAATTTCCATTTTATTCACAACTATGAAATTAAAAAACTTTTTACCTGATTCGGAAAAATTTATCTTTTCAAAAAAAAAAATTTAGTCTATATATATATATATATTGTAGGAATTATGTTAATATTTCCAGTAAGAGTGCTCAATACAGCGTTTTATATAATTGTAATTTTATGTAATTGAAATATATCTTAATAATTATTTAGTTTTCACTATATATATATATATATATATATATATATATATATATATATATATATACATATATATATATATATATATATATATATATATATATATATATATATATATATATATATATATATATATATATATATATACATATATATATATATATATATATATATATATATATACATATATATATATATATATATATATATATATATATATATATATATATATATATATATATATATATATATATACACAGTGGTGTTTAAAATCAGCTACAAATTTTACCAATACTCAGTTTAAAGCAAGTATGTTTAGGTTTTAAAAAAAGAAAAAGTAAAAAAAATATTTGTTATGCCATAACAATTGGTGACAATTTTGACATGTTTCATCCTTATAAGTAAAATTTTAATGATTGTGGGAAAGTATGTGGATACCACCCAGCTGGCACGCATATATTTATAAAACGCATGTTGCGTTGGCTCAATGTCAACCGCCAAAGTTGTTTTTATATCATTTTGGTTACAAATGTGACATCACCAACAACCAAAAAACAATGATAATCTAACGTTGTATTTTAAGTTAGGATTGCATAAATATTTTATCCATATACATCGGATTGCATAAATATTTTATCCATATACATCATAGATCCATATACATCGGATCAACGTTGATCCATATACATCGGATCAACGTTGATCCATATACATCGGATCAACGTTGATCCATATACATCGGATCAACGTTGATCCATATACATCGGATCAACGTTGATCCATATACATCGGATCAACGTTGATCCATATACATCGGATCAACGTTGATCCATATACATCGGATCAACGTTGATCCATATACATCGGATCAACGTTGATCCATATACATCGGATCAACGTTGATCCATATACATCGGATCAACGTTGATCCATATACATCGGATCAACGTTGATCCATATACATCGGATCAACGTTGATCCATATACATCGGATCAACGTTGATCCATATACATCGGATCAACGTTGATCCATATACATCGGATCAACGTTGATCCATATACATCGGATCAACGTTGATCCATATACATCGGATCAACGTTGATCCATATACATCGGATCAACGTTGATCCATATACATCGGATCAACGTTGATCCATATACATCGGATCAACGTTGATCCATATACATCGGATCAACGTTGATCCATATACATCGGATCAACGTTGATCCATATACATCGGATCAACGTTGATCCATATACATCGGATCAACGTTGATCCATATACATCGGATCAACGTTGATCCATATACATCGGATCAACGTTGATCCATATACATCGGATCAACGTTGATCCATATACATCGGATCAACGTTGATCCATATACATCGGATCAACGTTGATCCATATACATCGGATCAACGTTGATCCATATACATCGGATCAACGTTGATCCATATACATCGGATCAACGTTGATCCATATACATCGGATCAACGTTGATCCATATACATCGGATCAACGTTGATCCATATACATCGGATCAACGTTGATCCATATACATCGGATCAACGTTGATCCATATACATCGGATCAACGTTGATCCATATACATCGGATCAACGTTGATCCATATACATCGGATCAACGTTGATCCATATACATCGGATCAACGTTGATCCATATACATCGGATCAACGTTGATCCATATACATCGGATCAACGTTGATCCATATACATCGGATCAACGTTGATCCATATACATCGGATCAACGTTGATCCATATACATCGGATCAACGTTGATCCATATACATCGGATCAACGTTGATCCATATACATCGGATCAACGTTGATCCATATACATCGGATCAACGTTGATCCATATACATCGGATCAACGTTGATCCATATACATCGGATCAACGTTGATCCATATACATCGGATCAACGTTGATCCATATACATCGGATCAACGTTGATCCATATACATCGGATCAACGTTGATCCATATACATCGGATCAACGTTGATCCATATACATCGGATCAACGTTGATCCATATACATTGGATCAACGTTGATCCATATACATCGGATCAACGTTGATCCATATACATTGGATCAACGTTGATCCATATACATCGGATCAACGTTGATCCATATACATCGGATCAACGTTGATCCATATACATCGAATCAATAATGATCCTTATACATGGGATCAACGTTGGATTTACTTCGAAAAAACAACTTTTGCAATGTTTTTAAATACATTGGACCAATGTAATTTTGCTAACTATTTTTAATCACAACACTACTAAGGTTTTTCTTAATATAAATATGAGAAAACTAACAACAGGCGTTTGCGATGTATTTACATATGCAGGCCCAACGTAAGTGTGCTAACTGGGCAAGCACCATAAAACGTATGTTTTATTTGTATTTTAAAGAAAAGATATATACATTCTGTGATACATAGCACAAGTAAAATTTTATTACCAATGCCACTATCTTAATTAGAGCTGAAGGTGTTCATATTTTTTGAAGAAAGAAACATTTTTTATCGAAATTTTAAATCTGGTTTAAGATGAACTTTTTAAATGGTCTAGATTTGATTAGTGTGAGGTCTAGTGATGATTTTGACATTTTGTTTGTTAACAAACTTTTACCAGTGAAAATATTAAGAAATTAGAACTCTTATGAAAAGATTTAAATATAGCAAAGGCAATATCTAAATATTGCAAAAAATTATTTCACGAGCCATTTTTATCTCAAATTGAGCGCCATACTTGGACAAAAATATCATAAAATGTGCATTAAAACAATCTAATGGTTATTTTTTACTCAATATACTGTTCCATTACAAATCAAAACTACTGAGTAACTAATCAAGAAAATAGCTAACACGATTGCACATAGAGCGTATGTTGCATTAATGAAATCATAAAATTCTGTTGCTTCTAAACAATTATGTTAGAAAAATGAGGCAATGTTTGCAAAGCTCAAAATCTATTCAAAATATTTTAAATTGTGACAATGGTGATGATTTTTATTTTTGATGATGATTATTAGAAATTTGGTGAGGATTATTAGAAACTACTTTTTTATAAAATTAATTAATTTAATTTATACTACCTTGCAATGACATCATTTTGGTTATGTTTTTTAATAGAAATATTTTTTTGAAATAATTGGTTTTTAACTTTTAATCAAAACTTTTGAAATAATTGGTTTTTAACTTTTAATCAAAATATTAAAGAATTAAAAATTATAATTAAGTTATTTTTTTTTGTAAAAAAAATAAAAAATTAAAAACAAAAAAAGAGAATTAAAACCATAAACACTTAAACAAACATAAAGCTATAAACAAAATTATAACAAACAATAAGTACCTGAAAGACCAGTGTCATCACTTCCTATTAATCCTCTTGCTTGATACATGTGAGCACGCAATGAAAACTTTTGAAAAACAGTATAACGAATTTCTAATGGAGGAGGAGCTGTTGTTTTGGTTAAGTTCTTTGGCTTAATAATTAATAAAAAAGTGGTGTTTAAGCGGTTTAGTTAAGTGAGCTTTCATGATTTGATTAATAATAGTTTTTAATAATTGATTGTTAATAGAGACAAAATCTCTATTAACAATCAATTTTTAAAAAAGACAATAGTTTATATAAACAAAATATTAAGAGACAAAAATAGTTTACTTAAAGTTACAATTATATTTAATTTTTAAACAATTTTTTAAATAATTAACAACTAAATGTAAATTATGTTTACATTTAAACATAGTTTTTAATAATGGAATTTAAAAACAAAAATTCCCAGTCACAAAAAGTCTCCCAAAAAAGAGTAGTTTTAAGCTTATTCTTGTTCTTGCTGTCTGGTGTCCAGGCTTCAATAATGCTGAGAGACTGACAATCCAAATTGAAAAAAAATGGTATTTAAACCTACTATATTTAGGTTTCTTTTTGAGTCATTTGTAGATTTGAAAGTGATTAAGCATGTAGTCCTAATTATACTATAATAATTAATTATAATTATCCTAATTATAACTATATAATTATACTATAATAATTGATTCTCTACCATTTATTGATATAATTATGATTCTCTACCATAAATGTTCTGATTTTTTTCTCAAAGTACTGCACTTTTATCTGACCATTTTTTGAGTCCTGGACATCAAAGACCAAGAATAAATATTGATTTTGTGACTTGTGAAAAAAATGGAATCTTTTTAAAAACAATTTTTTAACAATTTATTTTAAAAAACAAAACTTAAATATTAACATAATAAACAAATGCACATACAATTTCGAAACCTTCAGGAGCATATAATAACATATCTTTTTTTGTTTTCAATATTCCAAGCCACACTAAGCAAGTTAATTTGCACTTTATTGCCCATCCATTCTCACCAAGACCACTTTTTCCTGGAAGCTTAAGTAAATAGTAAAAAATATTACCAAGCAGATATACAACAAAAAAAGTTTAGTAAAAAAATTACTTACAGTTAGCAGATAAGTTTGAACTTTTCCGGCATCAACCCCACTTTCATGTTCAATACGCGAGTACATAACTTTATGTGCTGGAATACGTGTATAACATATTCTTTTATTGCCAGACAATAGCCAAATAATAATGTCTGGGAAAACGTCTTGAGGCTGCAAACAATTTAAAATATAATAGATGCTATAAATACTAACATAATTTTTTTATGAACAGCAGCTTTTTTTGCTGTTAAAAATTTATAATGCTGACTATAACAAACTCAAAAAAGACATTAAATTTAAATTATTTTCTTTACTGAAACTAAATTGAAATTCATTAAACAATTTTGAATTTCATTAAAAATGAAACTGCAATTAATCTGAGTGATCATAGTTTCTTATGATATGCGTATATGTATATTTATATGAATTATATTGATTCTTAGTTTGTGATAAAGTTTAAATTCAAGGAGAAAAACTATAACAATTTATTTTAAAAAATTTTGAATTAATCACTATAAAAATTAAAAAAATGAAGATAAATAAAAAGATAACAATTCACCTCTTTCATTAGTTTTTTGTATCGATCAATGAATGACCGCACATATCTGTAATTTGAATTGATGCGACGATTGTCTTTTAAATTATCCAAAATTTGTTTACATTCATCAATAACTTGTTTCTGAAGATAGAAAAAAAACATTTTATTAAATAATCATATATTTTTTTTACTAAAAATGTTTCATGCAGAGTATAAAAATAAAAGTATAAAAAGACAGACACCCCCAGACAAACATGCATGTATCATGTTTAAGTTAGATACTAAAATATTTGCATGTCAACCTCAAGTAAAATATATTACATCAATAAATAAACTAGAACTAGTATATACTGTTTCAGAAATGCATAGATTCAATCTTTCTTTATCTAGTTTCATTTTTCCAAGTTTTGCACCAGTTATCTTTCCACCAAGTTGTGTTAATAGTTTGCTATAAAAGAAAAAATCAAAATTTGGCATTCAAGACCATTGTGTAAAGAAATAAATTGAAGTGTGGTAAATTACTCTATTTCAATCCATCAAATTTAAAAAAAGAAATCTTTTAAGTACAGCTTAAAAAACTCAATACTAATTATTAAATGTTAATTGGTAAAAATTAATTAAATTACTTGAGTTTCTAATTATCTGAATTTAAAAAAATATCTGATATCAAACACAAAATATTTAAATTATACAGATACATCAGTAATTCAGAAATTAAATAAATAAGAAATTAAAAATATTAGAATGCATTCAATATTCATGTTTTACAAAGCTTAGATTTAACTCAAGTATTTTAACTATATACAATAACAATAGTTATATTTTTTAAATTTATTTTACAATAAAACTAAAAAAAAATTGGATTGAGAGTTTTGAAATTCAGATTCAAATTTACACAACAAATACAAACACAATTGTGTTTGTATTTGTTAAAATCTTGGACCTTTTTAAAACAACGTACCAAAATAGTTTTTTAACAGGCATAATTGAAGAAATTGTTGCTTTCAGTTGTTGCTGCAGCATTAAGACTTTCAAAAAAAATTTTATTTTCAATTTCTTTTACAACTTTCTTCATGTCATTGTGTTCAATATTGATACTTTCACAATCAGAATCAAAAACCTTTCTAAAAATTTCTAGTACCAAAGCAAAAGGCAAGGCGGCTTTACAATGTTTTGACTGATAATAGTATTGCTTAACTGGAAGTAAGCAAATTTTTAGTTTATCTAATTGCCTTTATTTTTCCATCAAGTGATATTTTAAAGATTTTCCTTTTTCTCTACACATGATCGATGTTTAAACTTTGTATTTAATATATGTAGCTAAATCTTGTTGTTTAATATATGTAGCTAAATCTTGTTGTTTAATATATGGAGCTAAATCTTGTTGATTAATATATGTAGCTAAATCTTGTTGTTTAATAGATGTAGCTAAATCTTGTTGTTTAATATATGTAGCTAAATCTTGTTGTTTAATATATGTAGCTAAATCTTGTTGTTTAATATATGTAGCTAAATCTTGTTGTTACAAAATTGGTTTCAATGAACTGAGTCAACTAGAGATTTCATATTCAGAGTGCCATTAAATCTTGATTTTTCACCAATTTCATATTTTCTTTTTATAGTTTTGTTCTCCTTCTAACATTTTATAAAAATTCTAACAGTTAATTTTGGAAATTTACATACTTTATCAAAAATGAGCATGATAATTTTCTATATAAAACTTCAAAATGTTTTTTTGATGCTCAAACCTTTTACTCAACATTGCAAAAACTAACCAGATGTAAATAATTGCATTCACACATGAAAAACTACTTATGTACTCATTATTTGAACAATTTAAAATCATCCAAATTTCAATTAATCATAGTGTTTGACAATAAAAAATATAAAAGTTTTTACTAAACTAAATATTAAAACTTTTCATCAAAATCAAAAAACAGCAAAATTTATAAGCTTAAATTTAAACTAAAAATAAATATATTAAATTAGAATTAAAACTTACTTGCAGTTTTCAACCAATTTATTTATTGCATCTTTAAGGTACTCCCAAGTATCATCTGCATCAATTGCAAGTCTTTCACCTGTATCTTCTAATGAATCTTCCTACAATTACATATAAAAGAATAATGAAAATAATTTTTTATTAAACTAAATGCTCTTCCCACTTAGACACAAACCCAAACAATTAATCAATGTATGTACTGACACCTAAGCAACAAAACAAACTAACAACTATTTCAGTATGGTATCATTAGCAATGTTTTTAAGAGTTAATCTATGTAGAGCTTGTTAATAGATAATTATGAATAATTTTTCAGGGTATAGTAGAAGGTCTATTTTAGAGTGAATACTTAAAAACAAAGATGTAATGAAAGATCTTTCATGCACAAAAGATCAGATAAATAAAAGGTTTCAGCTTATTAGTTGCAACATATTATTATTGTTATATAAAACATATTATTATTGTTATATTAGTTGCAACATATATAATGTTATGTTGTTATATAAAAAATCTGTGTGTAAAAAATGTGAAATTTATTTGCTTTTGTAACTTTGCTCTTATCAAAAATAGTTGTTATATCTTATATTTTATGATTCTTAAGATATAAGTTCAACACAGTACAAAGTTGATTTTGATGAATTTTTCATGTCTAAAATGAATAAAGAAAAAAAAAAACTGGCTTTATTGATCATAAAGTTATTGGCAGAAATGGCCTTATGACTGTGACAACACCTTAAAGTGTGAAGAAAAGGTACATAAATAAAACAATGTTTGTTGCTTATGTGCTAAAATACTTAAGATTAGAAAAAAAAAGTTTAAAATTGAATTGTCAGAATGTAAGACAGAATTAGTTGTTAGTGTGTACGTGAAGGTATTGAAACACAAGAAAACTTGTAAACAGAATTACTGTCTCTACTGCTCTATTATTGTCTCTGTTATTACAAGTCTTGGTTTTGAGTATGAAGGTAATCTTTGTCTAAAAGTTGTACAAAGTAACAATGAAAAAGCACCTGTATTATTAAATAGGCAATCAAAATTTTGAAGTTTGCACTGACACAACAAGCCATGGCAACCAATTTACTTCAAATCCTACAGTTAGTCCTTTTTTTTTATATATATAACACAAAATAAAACACTTTTGAAGTTTTATAGATATTATATAGATAACATATGTAAAGATATTAATTTTGGGTCTGGTCAGCAAGTTTTGGGTCTGGTCAGCAATTTTGGGTCTGGTCAGCAGGTTTTGGTAATACAAAATAAGTTTAAGTATTATCAAAATTTAGCAGTTTGCACTAACACAAGTCATGACAACCAACTTACTGCTTCCTAAAAGCCAGAGACTTCTGCATAGGATGAAATTCAGACACGCACTTTTCAATAAACTGGATACAGTTGTGACAAAACTAAATGTATCTTTGAACTGTTGAACACAATAAGGATAGATAAGTAAAGACATTTCTTTGTCAAAGATTTAGAAGATCAAAAGATAGTGAATTTTGAATATTATCTTTCTTTTGGGACAGGTTGGGGCTCACAGATGAAACCAAAAGAACACAAGCGTAGACTTATCTTGTGTTGGTTAGTTCCCAAAATTAAAACTGAAGCTAAAAGTAAGAATATTAAAGAGATTTAAGGAGATATTTTTCTAATATTTAAAGAGATTTGGTCGCGAACAACAATTTTTAAAAGAAAAAGTAAGGAAAATTAAGGAGAAAATGATTACATTAAAAACAGACTCTTATTTTTTTCAATAAATATTAAATATAAACAGGGAAATTATTATAAATTAATATATTACTTTATATATATACATATATATATATATATATATATATATATATATATATATATATATATATATATATATATATATATATATATATATATATATATATATATATATATATAATAAAAATAAAGGTTTGCAAACTATCAAAGAACTAAATATTTTCTTCTTTATTATTAAGTATAATCCATTCACTTTAATAAAATTTCCTAGATGATTTAAAAAAATAATAAAGAGAAATTGAGGTCAAATTTCAACTTTTTTTAAGGTTATTTAAAGTCAAAAACAAATTTCAACTTCTTTTAAGGTTATTTAAGGACATTTAGGGAGGTTTTTATTTTTTAAGGATATTTAAGGTTTTTAAGGAGAAGTGGGAACCCTGTTAGTATATTTAGATATAGCATATGTAAAAATAAATATAATTTGCTGAAATATAATATATGTTTTTAATAAGATATATATATATATATATATATATATATATATATATATACATAAATTTCTGTAAAACATTTGATATAAAGTACAATAAAAAACACATTTTTAAATATTTTAAAATACCAAAAACTAAAAAATTTACCATTTCAAGAATAAATCTATGTAAAATATTTTGAAGATAGAGACGCTTTCGATGGTCTTCCCATGGGAATCTCAGGTGCATGCATGGCTTGTTTTCATAATAGGGCATGTTATAATACTCACGATCCAAAGTTTCTGCTGTCATAGGATCAGTTAACGGTTTTGTAAACTTATCATCATCATCTTCTCCATCATCATCTTCTTTAGATGATAGCATCTTTCCATCAAATGTATTCCCATAATTACCTGTAAAAACACTTTGTATATGATTAACAATAAAAGTATAAATTCTGTTTTTTACCTACCAAACGAAAAAGTTAACTCATACCTATATTCATTTCAAATCGTATTGGGTTGCTTGCAGTCTTCCTGTCAATCATACTTGCTTCATGAATGCAACAGAACAGTTGAAACTTTTCTTCTTTTCCACCAACAACCTTAAATATTTTATAAAAATTTATTAAAGAGTAATTTAGATTATTATTCTTTTATAAAATTTTATAAAATATTTAAGGTTGTTGGTGGCTATTATATTTTTGATTTATTACTGTTGTTTTTATTCAAAATTTATATAATCAAGGAATAAATAAAATTTGAACATAAAATTTTTTTTTTGTTACATCAGACACAGGAACAGCTCCCCTAACATTTACATTGCTAATTTCTTCATCCATTGCTGATTCTCCCTCCTCCATTTGAATTGAAAGTAAAATTCGACCGCGATAACCAATACCTTCTCCCTAAATTTGCGAATCATTACTTTTATGCTTATGAAATAATTATGTTATAATATAAATATGTTAAAAAATAATTATGTTATAAAATAACTATGTTATAAAATAATTTTGTTATAAAATGTATTATTAAAAGATGATATAATAAAAAATAAGTAAAACATTTCTTTTTATACTAAAAAATATCAAACACTAAAAATTAAAACTTACTAAACCCTCATTAAGAAAATCATTTTGATTAATAAACCAATAATCACGAGTCGATCCATAAAGATTTACCCATGATGGTCCAAATGTTGGCATAAAACCAGTGTTGGTATTGAATTTATGCACTGGAAAAATGATTTAGAAGTGATTAAGAAACACTGTGCCTATTGTCAAACTGTATTGTAAAAAAATTATAAATAAATTTAATTAGTCACCATTGCATCCATCATTTGAAATTTCAGACAAATCAATCCACAGTGTCCCTATAGTCTCTTCTTTTGTTAAATCTCTTTAACAAAATACAAAATTTTTTCTTCTTTATATAAATTTAAAAAAGTAAGAAACTTAATTTTAAAATAGCCATTATTGTAAATTTATAAAAAAAATATTAAGAAGGAAACATTTTAAATATCCGTAATTTAAAATAATCGTTTTTAAATATAAATCATAATCAAAATCTTTTTAATTTGTTTTTTTACTATTTTTAATTTGTTTTTAATTTGTTTTTTTACTATTTTTAATTTGTTTTTAATTTGTTTTTTTACTATTTTTAATTTGTTTTTAATTTGTTTTTTTACTATTTTTAATTTGTTTTTAATTTGTTTTTTTACTATTTTTAATTTGTTTTTAATTTGTTTTTTTACTATTTTTAATTTGTTTTTAATTTGTTTTTTTACTATTTTTAATTTGTTTTTAATTTGTTTTTTTACTATTTTTAATTTGTTTTTAATTTGTTTTTTTACTATTTTTAAGTTGTTTTTAATTTGTTTTTTTACTATTTTTAATTTGTTTTTAATTTGTTTTTTTACTATTTTTAATTTGTTTTACATTAAATTTAATAATTTTTTTTTGCAACCAAAAAAGAAAAAAAAAACAGATAGTTTACTTATGAACAATTTAAGTAAAAAATAAGTATATAAAATTACTGGTCTTTGAGCTGAATTTTTATTCTGCGACATAGTGATGGAAACTAAATTGTAAAACAAAAACAAAAATTTCATTAAATTTAAACAAATAAACTTGCAAATAAGCTTAAAGAATAAATAAAAAAATTTTAACCAAGTCACAGAAAACAATTTCTTCATTCCATTCTGGCTCATAACAATTTTTTTTAACAGAAGTTCTTGCCTAAATATAACATGTATATATCAAACAACATTAAATGTATAAATTACAGTTCCAAGATAAATCAAAAATACATAAATCATAAAAAAAATAAAACAAAAAGTTATCTCCACTATAACTACTATTACC